TCTGACTCCGATCCACGGCCTACTTAGTTTAGATCGGCACCAATCTTTTACACGTCTCGGCTATCCTCCGGCCCTAATCTCCACCAGGATTGGGTTAAGGCCTCTCCCAGCCTCTCTGACTGGTCTTACCTGACTCCATGAGAGCCATGAGTCCCATTATCCATGACAATTTTGACTAACATGTTGGACAAATGCCGGCTAAAGCTTTTCGGGTATCCCAGAAGCCTCCGGCCTCTCGCTTAAGCTTGTGGAACCTGGAAACCGATTTCCTTGGTTCTCAACAGAATCATCTTCCATCTGGTTCGTTCGGGTGCCGACCTGAACCGGGAGAAAGAATGTGCTGTCCAGGGCGATCTGTCGGGTCGCCAATACCCCCTTCACACCTCAGCTCTAAGCTCTGCCCCTCCAGACCGGTCAGCATCTGGTTGGACTCTTCAGGTGGCCCACCGGCAAATTCTTCACAACCTACTTTCAACATGGGTAAACTAAATCACAGGCGCAACGGGGCATCAAGTCGTGGAACTGTCCTTCTCCCCCACCCACTGGGGTATACATTTTGTTATATACACACTGACTCGGATAAACGCCTTAGCTAGCTGGGGGGAGATGACCCTTATATACTTCCTGCGTTTTGGCCCCTGATCTGCGGCTGAATGTTTCCTGGCGAGACCTTCTCCGCGCCGGCTAAGCGAGACTCAACGTCTGGGGAAAACACTCCCCCGACCCATCCTCCCACATCACGGGGGCAAAAATTGTGGGAATCTTCCTGCATAGTCCGAAGATTAAGCACCTCTAGCTGCGTTTTCGGCGTATCACGTCCTCGCTATTCAATCTCCAGGATGGTCCTCCCCGGATGGGGTTTGGCCACGACGTAGATTGTGGAGAGCGTTCGAGGCAGGGGAGAAATCCGTATCCACATTCTGGCTGCTCCGTAGAACTCGTAGGAAACCGAGATATTACTTATGGCCCGGCCCGTCTCTGTCTGTTCTCTCTTTCTTCTTTTCTCCCATCCGTCTTTCCTGTTGACAGGACACCCCCTTATATTCTTCCTTCGTCCTTGTCCTTGTTCATCCTCCTGTTGACAGGATTTTTCACGGTCATCAGAGTTTTCTCCTCCCTCTCGTCCTCCCTCCCCTCCCTCTTCTCCCATACAATGGGTGGAATTCTTCACCTCGTTGAGGATCGTCCGACTCCCAAAAATGTCTACAATTGGCGAGTCTATGTGCTCGCCCTCATTGCCTCATGTGGTTCCAACATGATTGGGTATACCAGTGGGTTCATCGGGACGACAATCACTCTGCCTTCCTTCGAACGCGAGTTTGGGTTGGATAAGATGACCAGTTCTCACGTGGATCTGATTAGTGAAAATATTGTCTCTTTGTTCATTGCTGGTGCCTTCTTTGGAGCTCTGCTCACTTATGGAATTTCTCACGTTTTTGGACGTAAATGGAGTTTGACTATCTCCTCGGCTGTCTTCATTCTCGGTGCCGGGTTGCAGATGGGAGCCAACGGCTCTCGTGGGCTCGGCATCTTGTACGCTGGCCGTGTCCTTTCCGGTCTCGGCACGGGTGTGGCTTCCAACGTCGTCCCGATTTACCTGTCCGAACTGGCTCCTCCGGCCATCAGAGGCCGACTGGTCGGTTTCTATGAACTTGGCTGGCAGGTTGGTGGTATGGTTGGTTTTTGGATTAACGTAAGTGGCTTTCCTTTTATTTCTTGCTAAATTTCTCAAATCCCTTCATTTCATCCCAATGTTGCCATTTTTCGTCACGTGCATTGCTGATAACCTTCTCTATAGTATGGTGTCGAACAAACTATGCCATCGGACCACCAGCAATGGGTTATCCCCTTTGCTGTTCAATTGATCCCATCGGGCATGCTCTTCCTCGGCTCCCTGTGGATGAGAGAATCCCCTCGTTGGCTATTCCTCAAGGGTCGTCGCGAGCAAGCCATGAAGAACCTCTGCTGGATTCGTCAACTCGATGAAACTGATATTTACATCACCGAGGAGGTGGCTACTGTTGACCAAGCCATCGAGGAGCAGGTTGCTACTGTTGGTCTGGGCTTCTGGAAGCCCTTCAAGGCTGTCTTCCAGGCGCCTAGCTTGCAGTACCGCCTCTTCCTGGGTTGCATGCTGTTCTTCTGGCAGAACGCGTCCGGTATCAACGCCATCAACTACTACAGCCCGACTATCTTCGCCAGTCTTGGTGTTACTGGCAACACTAAGGGTATTCTCAATGGTATCTTTGGTGTCGTCAAGGCTGTCTTCACCGTTATCTGGCTGCTCTTTTTGGTTGATCAATTCGGACGTCGTAAGCTCCTCCTCTGTGGTGCCGTCTGCGGATCCGCCTGCATGTATGCTATTGGTGCCTACATCTACATTGTCCGTCCGACAGAACACCCCCAGGACCACTTGAATGGTGGAGGTATTGCTGCCATCTTCTTCTTCTACCTGTGGACTGCTGTCTATACCCCCACTTGGAACGGTACCCCGTGGGTCATCAACTCGGTAAGTTCCCCTTTGCTCCAACGAAGCAGGCCTCCTATGAAAATCTTGCTAACTGTTTGTGAATAGGAGTTCTTCGATCCCAACATCCGTCCGCTGTCCCAGGCCTGCACCACGGCCAGCAACTGGCTCTTCAACTTCCTTGTCTCTCGTTTCACCGAGCAGATGTTCGCCGCGATGAGCTACGGCGTGTACTTCTTCTTCGCGTCGTTGTCCTTCTTCGCCTGGTTCTTCGCCTTCTTCCTCATCCCCGAGACCAGTGGTATCCCATTAGAGGCGGTCGACCAGCTCTTCAGAATCAAGCCGATCTGGAGGGCGAACGAGAAACTCAAGGAGCAGCTGAGAGAAGAAGAGGAACGTTTCCGTCACGAAATGAAGGATGGGGCGTTCGAGAAGAACGACCCTCAGGAGCATGTCGAGAGCGCTTAATAATTTGGCTTATTTCATGGTTATATACGGACATAGACTTTGTAAATAGATTTCGGGATTTGATATACATACATCGATCAGGCTTTGACCTGCTGGCAGAACTACCGAATTCGTTCCTCTTTCCGTGCATGTGACTTAGTTCAGCGTAACATCGATGCCTAGTTTCTCGCCGATCTTGCCGTCCCCGACACAGGTCGAGTCACTAGTAGGTACTTTATTTAGAGAGAATTGGCAGCCTCGTTCGATTTCCATTCAAAGAGGAGACGGAGGCCCGGAACACCACCATTCCGGTCAGTTCTCGAATAGTATCTGGTGGCGGTTTCGGTCACCACCACCGTTTACCCAGCACGTCACTCGCTGCATCTTTGTGCAACCTGTACGACCTGTGCAACCCAGTTGAACCCGAACTCTGAAATATGGAGCACACATGCAGGGTTTGTATGATTAAGTTGCATCATCACGCCCGGAGGAAATCTGGAGAAAGAAACATATCCCTCCAGTCTGCAGCGTCGATGCATATTCCAGAAAGGAGCAAGGTGACTGTAAGCACCACAGCCCGTCGCGTGGGCTTTTCTGTGGATCTTGGCGCTTACATGCGGACATCACTTAGGCTGTGCTACTAATATCTAGTCTAGTGGTGTGTCATTTCGAATAACCAGACACACAAAGAATCACGGGGAAACTCTGTCTGACAGGGATGACATATCTTTCCCCCTCGCCAACCTTTCCCATTCGTGCTCCGCGCCAGAAAGACCCGAGGGATTCCGTCTTACATGCCAAGGGAGGGGCCATTCTGACTAAGAGGAAACCTGACCAACTCAGGCATCGTACCACGGTCAGTTGTGACCTTCCAAGACTTCATCCACGGAGCGGGAAAGCTGCCAAGAGGGGGAGGAGGGTGAAAGAAGAGAAGAACGTGAAGAAGCGGGTGGAGGAGATTTATTGGCACTTCAAGAAGCCAATGTGGCAGTTCCCCCGAGCAAAAAAAGAGTCTACCACATGGCCTCTTACCGATCCATGTGCCTGAAAATTGAGGACAGACGGACAGGAGAGTGAGACATTTGAAATGCCATGATGGGGGATGACTAACAAAGGATTTACCAAAAATGCATCGGTCGGCGCGGGGTTTTGAGTGGGTGACAGGGGAACTGTGGTGTATGGTTACCGTATTGAGACGGTCGCTAACTTACTAGTAGCCCACTGCGTTATTTGACGGCCTGTTCTTGCACTACTAGTGAGACTAGTAGGTTACTGACTGGGGTTGAGTGAGGGGAACCATGCACCGTGTGTGCAGGGACTTCTGAGATGAGAGGCATCACTTGCAACGGTTTGACTTGTACTTGTAGATACTGAGTGGACTGAGACGTAGCAAATAACAGCCATTGTAGTAACCGCAGTGATGGTTAGCAGCCGAGTGAAGGGCCAAAAGAGGGCAGGCAGACATTTACACACACGCCACCAGCCCCGCACGGCCTCTTGGCCCGGTCGGTGCCCAGGCCTCCAGGCTTGTCGTGTCTTGTCATCCTGGCCAGTCTTGTCCCCGTCTTCCGCCCGGCTGTGCAAGCGGCCTTTTCTAGGCAAGGCTCGGCTCTGAACCCAAGCCTCCCCCTCTCGGCCCAAGACTTCCTCCCTTCCCCTTCTCCCCCCCTGATTCTCTGCTGTTCCTCTTCCTCTGGTCCGGCAATCTGTTAGTTTCCCTTATTACTTTCACATCCCCCCCATATTTCTCTTTGCTCATATCTGCCATTTGTGTTTGTGATCTTAACACTCTTGCTGTCCTTTCCTTTCCCTTTTCTTCCCCCCCCCCCCCCCCCCCCTCTTTGGCCAATTCTCTCCCTTTTTTTCAGATATCCGGTGTCGGTGTGCGTATCGTCGATTTTCTTGTCCGCCACTCCCTCACCGCGCCATCTGTCGTAGTCGATCCTCTTGTTTTCCCTTCATTAGCACCAAGAGTCTTGGGTCTCCCCATCTTTTCCTCCCCTTGCACGCTTGAGGCGGACTTGTGTTGAGTCGCTTTCTACTTCCGCTGCTCCCAAGAAAGGGACAAGAAAGATTTTTCTTGGCAATGTCGGAACCCCAAGACACCACGACGGCCCCTTCGACGACGGCCGCTCCCATGCCTACCTCAACTTCCCAGGATTCTCCTTCAGCTCAGCAACCTGCCCAGGTATCCTCAGCGACCGCTGCTTCTGCGGCCGCGACGGCTGCGGCTGCCTCGGCTGCCGTGGCAAATCCCCCCATGAACGGTACCACCACTCGTCCATCTGAGGAGTTGTCCTGCCTTTGGCAGGGCTGCTCGGAAAAGTGCCCTTCCCCTGAAGCTCTTTATGTGAGTTGTCCTTCTTTCCTTAAATAAAAATCATTCTATATTCTATACTGTGATGAGACAGTCCACCGGCAATGGGCTACGTGTTGGCTTGACTCATCACATCCTCGTTTGGATGGGGTAGCTGACCGCCTCGGCTTAGGAACATGTGTGCGAGCGTCACGTCGGCCGCAAGAGCACAAACAACCTCAACCTCACCTGCCAATGGGGCAGCTGCCGCACTACTACTGTCAAGCGCGACCACATCACTTCTCATATTCGCGTGCATGTACCGCTAAAACCACACAAGTGTGATTTCTGCGGCAAAGCCTTCAAGCGTCCCCAGGACTTGAAGAAGCACGTCAAGACCCATGCCGACGATTCAGTCCTGGTCCGGTCGCCGGAGCCCGGAGCCCGGAATCCGGACATGATGTTCGGTGGAGGTGCCAAGGGTAAGTGTTTCCCAGGCTGACTGTCCTGCACTGCCGGCTGACATGAGATGTAGGCTATGCGACCGCTGCGCACTATTTTGAGCCCGCGTTGAACGCGGTCCCGAGCCAGGGCTATGCGCATGGCGCTCCCCAGTATTACCAGTCGCACCCTCCCCCTCAGCCTGCCAACCCGTCCTACGGAAATGTCTACTACGCCCTGAACCATGGCCCAGAGGCTGGTCACGCTTCTTATGAATCCAAGAAGCGCGGTTACGATGCCCTGAATGAGTTCTTTGGCGACCTGAAACGGCGTCAGTTCGACCCGAACTCCTATGCTGCCGTTGGCCAGCGCCTGCTGGGCTTGCAGAGCCTGTCGCTCCCTGTGTTGAGCAGCGGGCCCTTGCCTGAGTACCAGCCGATGCCTGCACCGGTGGCCGTTGGTGGTGGCGGATACAGCCCCGGGGGTGCTCCCTCCGCACCGGCCTACCACCTGCCGCCTATGAGTAACGTGCGGACCAAGAACGACTTGATCAACATTGATCAGTTCCTGCAGCAGATGCAGGATACTATATATGAGAATGATGACAATGTGGCTGCTGCTGGTGTTGCCCAGCCGGGCGCTCATTACGTTCATGGTGGCATGAGCTACCGCACCACCCACTCGCCTCCCACCCAGTTGCCCCCCAGCCATGCGACAGCAACCAGCTCTGCCTCAATGATGCCAAACCCCGCCACCCACTCGCCTTCCACAGGCACTCCCGCCCTTACGCCGCCGTCTAGCGCTCAGTCATACACCTCCGGTCGCTCGCCCGTTTCCTTGCCGTCGGCGACAAGGGTCTCGCCGCCTCACCATGAAGGAGGCAGCATGTACCCTCGTCTGCCGTCAGCTACCATGGCTGACAGCATGGCGGCCGGGTACCCGACCGCGTCGAGTACCGCACCGCCGTCCACCCTCGGTGGCATCTTCGACCACGATGACCGCCGCCGGTACACGGGTGGCACGCTGCAGCGCGCCCGTCCAGAGACTCGCCAGTTGAGCGAGGAAATGGATCTTACCCAGGACGGCAAAGATGAGGGTGAGCGTACTCCTAAGGCCAAGGATCACTCTTCGCCATCGTCACCTGAGCGCATCTCTGCTAGCTTGATCGACCCGGCTCTTTCGGGCACTGCCGCGGAAGCTGAGGCAACCCTGCGGACCGCCCAGGCGGCGACGGAGGTGGCCGAACGGGCAGATGTACAGTGGGTGGAGAAGGTGCGGCTGATTGAGTATCTGCGCAACTACATTGCATCCCGGCTGGAACGGGGCGAGTTCGAGAATAATGAGTCTGGCGGCGGCAACAGCAGTAGCAACGGCAGCAGTCATGAGCAGACACCTGAGGCCAGCCCGGACACTCATATGGAAGGAGTGGAAAGCGAGGCTCCAAGTAAGGCCGAGGAACCGGCTGTGAAGCCGGAGGCAGGTGATGTGGTGATGTACCCGACGCTACGCGCGGTGGATGAAGATGGTGATTCAAAAATGCCTTAGGTTGTTTGCTGGTCACTATCTTTGTATTTCTCTTTTTCTGGGCTTATATTCGATTCTTCCGGAGCGAGTTCTTCCGACTTGCTACGAACTGTCTGGGTGCTAGTTTGATTCCCTGTCCACGTGCACGTGGTAACGCAGTGTGATTACGCCCATGAGCCATGGGCCGTGTATATGTGGGCCCGGCCCTGGGATTTACTTTCTTTCATTTACGTCTCCTCTCTCATTCCTTGCTATTTCTTTTGCACGGAGTTCTGTTTAAGGTGTGTATATGGATGGCGCCGCGGAATGCATGGGACACGGCGCCGAATCCAAATGGCGTCCCATCTGGCTCGTTTATATTCTTATTCAACGATAACCTAGGTCTGTTTCTGTTGAGCTCAATGCCGTAAACTGTAGACAAACAAATAGTTCCAAGTGCGTAGAACTGCAGGCTGTTTTCGCTGGGTCTGGCAGGCTGCCATGGAGGGCCAGATTGGCAGACATTCCGATGGCGGGCCACTAAACCGCAGGCGGAGAGGCATGACGCAACCAGCGCAGCGGAGAGTTTTGAGAAATGGATGGATCAAGCGCAGGGGCAGCGATGGACGAGGAGGCGATACGTTGATCCGACCCTCGCAGACATGGATCAGCAGGGTTCGAACGTGCCCTCGATGCTTTCACCTTGCCTGATCCGGTGGAGAGGGAGGGAGGGGAGGATGCTTTATCCCCAATGGGGAAGAATGGAAATGGAACCCTGTCAGAATGCTGGTCGGCCAGTCATTTGCTCTGTATTCCAGTGAATGCTTTCTCTCTCATTATGGTTTGTCCCAAACAAGGGCGTTCCGAAGCCTCCGTAAGCTGGATGGCTGGTAACATGGACATTGTGGATATGTCATTCATCGACTTCGAGTTTTTGTGGCTTACGGATGGCGGATCATAACAGCATTACTAGACAGTGCTAGATACCTATCTCTTGAGGGGAGAGAATGAAGGCGGTGGAAAAGAGGAGAGAAAGAAGGAGAACCAGCAGCACGAGCAACTGCACCCGGCTAGGCCGTGGCCATCCTTCCATCCTTCATCCTTGCATTGGGAGGGATGCAGCTGGTGGGCTCCACTGCCTGTTTACGGCGGTTGCGGCAGCCTCCACTGGTGGGCATACATATTAAACCGGGGATCTACTGCGGTCGGGCAGGTTCGACAATGGGAAAGGGGAGGTTAGTTAGAGAGAGAGAGAGAAAGGAGAATGGGGAAATAGTTAGAATGGAATGGTACTGATTCAGATCCAGATCGGACAAGGGCGATCAACCTTAATTGGCGATATATGAGCGAGACAGAACTACACTGGCATGAATGTCTGGAAGACGACAGCTGAACGAAAAGGACAAAAGAAAAGAAGTTTGGCGGTGATTGAATTCATTCTTCGGCGTTCCCCACACGGAAGCGGTCACGCTTGATCTTGTTTGGTCCAAACCTGAACCCGCGGCGCGTTTGCGTGCAATTCATTCACGGCCGTTGCTTTTGCGTTGCACTTGCTGGTCCATCAATCTTCTTCTTCTTCTTCTTCTCTTTCTCTCTGCTTCTCTTGCATTTTCCTGCTAGACTCCTCTTTTCTCTTTATCATCATCTCTCCCACAATTTACTCTCCTCCTCCTCCCTTGTTTCACACAAACCCTTTGTCCTACTTACTACTAGTACATACTCAACAATCCCGATCGACATCACCCGAACCAAACTCTCGCGACCGGGCCTCTCCCCGCGGTGGCTGGCCCTTTTCTCGTCTGCATCAGTCAGCCACTTCCTCCAGTTCGCGTCCGTCTTGCGCGGTGGCAAACGTTCCCTTGGTTCTCGCTGCCTGGACCTGCCATCCCGGTTTGGGTTTTGATTTTCGCCTGCATTTCGTTCGGTCGTCATTCATTTTCTCGCCGATCATTTGTCTGTGAATTTCTCTCCCGGCTGAGCTCATCACGGTTGGTCTGCTTTCGCCGCGGAATTCCTGCGACTCGACGTCAACACACACGACCACTAGCTTACACCTCTACCCTCAACATCACCACCCACACCACGCTCCTAGATTAGACCTGCTAGACATCCACGCTGGCGACCAGACTCCGGACGATACAGGACAGAAGTTTTCGACGCTGACCCCGGTCGTGCGATCGCCCCATCTTAACCACCACCATGCCACTCTCCAACCGTCGTCGCGCGCGGCGCAAGGAAATCCAGCTGCAGGAAACGTCGGACGCAGAGGCTCCGGATTCATCCCCGACGCGGCCGTCCAACAAGAAGCGCAAGGTGGGTAGTAGATGGGAGCCCGGCGGTGTATTCAGAGGTTCAGCTGTTGACTTCAAAATAGATTGATCACCGTGCCTCTCCCCAGCCTCGACCCGTGAAGCAGGAATCTGCCGACGAAGCCGATGACTCGTCTCCTGATCAGGAACTGTCGGAAAATCAGGATTTGGTGGATATGGTGATCTCGTACCTGGACGCCGCCCGAGAAGAGGTACGCGTGCTCCGGGACCACTCCAACGCGAAAACCGAAAATAAGCAGAGCATCCGCGCCTACGCCAAAATTGCCGGCCGCAACTGGACCTATTACGTCAAAACTCTCCACGTTAATATCGGACGCGAGCCCGACCGCGAACAGAAGTTGGATGAACAGTCAAGCCCGGTTACAATCGCCGCCCGCGCGCTGCCTGAAGTTAATGTGGATTTGGGACCAAGCAAATTTGTGTCGCGCCTGCACGCGGAGATCTTTTACGATGGAGAGGAGACGGCATCCTGGCACATCCGCGTTAACGGTCGGAACGGCGTACGCTTGAACAGTGCGATCCTCAAGCGCGGCACCGATGCGATCCTTTCTTGTGGTGATATCATTGAGATCGCCAACACCCAGATGATGTTCGTCACGCCCGGCGATAAGGCCAATATCCATCCGAGCTTCGTGGAACGCGCTCAGCGTCTCGCCAACGGAGAGGAGGATGTGGCTACCTGGGATGCCTCCCAGCATGCTCATCCCCAGCCTCCCTCGACGACCGCTACTGCGGATGCGGCCCCAGTCACAACTGGCGCCCCTTCGCTGGCTCCTGCACCGCAGTTCCTCAAGCGTCAGGTGACGCCGCCCCCGCGGTCGCCCGATACGGTGGGAGCCCGCACAGCCAAGCAGTCGCCGCTGTATAACCGCGGTATGATGATGGAGAGTACGGAGGAGATTGATTACAGCAAAGACGCAGCCAAGGACCTGAAGCCGCCCTACAGCTACGCGACGTTGATTGCGCAGGCAATCTTCTCAAGCGAGGAGGAGAAACTTACGCTGAACAGTATCTACAACTGGATCATGGACAAGTACGCATTCTACCGCCACTCCCAGAGCGGTTGGCAGGTAAGACACCTCTTTATCCTGAGAAATTGCAGACCATTTGACACCCAGCAGAATTCCATCCGTCATAATTTGTCCTTGAACAAAGCATTCCAGAAGGTCCCCCGGCGGACTGACGAGCCCGGCAAAGGCATGAAATGGCAGATTGCCCCGGAATATCGTGAGGAGTACTGGAAGAAACAGCTGCGAAAGGGAACGCAATCATCAGCCCCATCGTCACCTGCCACGAGGGATCCGGCCGCTCGGGGCGCCAACGGCATGGAGGCGGTGTTTTCGGCCACGAAGAAGTCCCCGCCAGTGTGGTCTCCTGGATTCAGTTCCTTCCCTGTCGCACCAATTGAGGCGTATACTCCTGAAAGGGGCTCCCGTGCCGCCCGTAATGGTACAGGAGCCCCTCTGCGGCCTTCCAACACCCGCGACTATGAGGAACCATCCCCGTTACCCACGCGATCCGCCACGAAGAATACCAGCAATGGCACTAGTCTAAGTCGGACTTATGGGCTGTCGGACAACATTGCCGGATCCCCGCCTGTGCTGTCTTCATCATACTACGACGACGGGCCGTCATCGATGATTACGCCGGCACCGCAGCGCCAGCAGCCACGACTGCCTCCGCCTAGCACCGCACAAATTCCATCCAAGTTTATGCCCATGAGCTCTCCCGCGCAGTTCTGGAAGTTCGCAGACATTGGCAGCACGCCAGCCCGGCCCGTGCCAGACATGAGCCCACTGAAGGGCGACCCCGGCGACGGACTGGGAAGTATCCCTAGCAGCAGTCCACCACCACCGAACCTGGCCAGTCCAAGCAAGCCAGGCACGGCCAACGGCATGGCCACTGGCCGCATGCCACCGCGCCGAGAACCGGAGACGAAGAATGAGCGACCTGACGAGGAGGACGACGAAGAAGAGGGGAGTGGATTTGACCTGGCGAGGTGGGTGCCTTCCATGCCTTTTCCCTCTCGGAGGAGACAGTACCATACTAACTAATCCGGCATAACAGGGGCTTCCAAACCATTGGTTCGTATCATCGACAGCTGAGCAATGCGGCGCGGGCGAGTGCAGCGACGTCGTAAGCAGCCATCAGCTAGCCACGATGTCTGTATGTTTGCATGTCTGTATGTTATAATGTATGTACTATGACCGGATTAGAGCGTATACTTTGTTTTGCTTGCTCGTTGCTTTGCTTTGATTGCTTTGCTTTTGCTTTATCTTTACCACAGGGGCTTGTCTGTCCCGGCAGCAGCAATGGTGTTTGGAGGATTTGCTATTAGATGATGAGAAATGATTAGTTTTTACTCATATATAACTACGTACTGAGGCATGGCCCTTCTCACATCACATACTAAGAGGATCCCACCATGACACGGTAAATACTATGGAGAGTATACTAAACAACTCAATCACATGATGCATAGATGCCCAACAAACTGCTAGTTGTTCATGCAAACTAACACGCAATGCAATTCCAACACCATCTACCATACACTATCATGTTTCTAATGTATATAAGCATACTAGACATCATGGACGATTTTTCACCGCTTCTCCCATCCTAACTCGCATGAACGAATTAAAACAGCACCAGCACATATCCACAATCCCTCCTCTACCCTCAGTACTGCATTCCCATTACAGGATCCTTTCAACCAAATAATGAGTAGAGCTGAAATGCACAATTTCTTTCAATCCCCCAAAGAATTCTAAGAAATTCCCCTCGAGAGATACAGAAGCAAGTTTAGGGACTATATACCAGATCATTATAACTATGCACTTGAATGCCAGAAAACCGGTTTACAGTCTACAGCTCACGTGGGAAGGGAGTGGCGATATGGGTCTTGTTTACTGTGGAACCTCAGTGTGAAATCGGGGATCCATACCTTCTGATGGCTAGATAACAGGAAGATAAGATGGTGATGAAGATTTTCAGGTATCACTTAGACTAATTCACTCATACGCCAACGTCACTACGCTGCTCCCTCTCACTACTAAGTCACATACTGACTTGAATTCAAATATGATCCCTAACCCACATACACACAAAAAACCCAGAAAAGTCTCAGTACACAGCAGATAGTACCCCCTCCCCCTCTCCCTACATCCAATCACCAAGCTCACTACAATAACTGAACGATTCCCCAATACCAAACCCATCCATCACACCCCCTCACAAGCACAGTAACTTGAGGAATTGCCCAAATACGACAACATATTATAACATCAAAAATAATCCACACCCACCCTCCTCCCATGAAAATCAAGAAGGGATCCACATATCCCGCACCCACGTCACAGAATCACCATAAAGGGGATATGCCTCCGAGACCCTGCACTAAAAATTATCTTATCTGATCAACATGCAATCTGCATGCTGATCGCTTATTAGTTGGACAGTGTTTTGCACGCCCCAGTTGCTCTGAGACATGGCAGTGTGCCAAGAGTGGTGCGCCGGGCGGAGGGGGACCGAGATCGGATCACGGTGTAGGGAGGGACTCCATGAAGTCAGTAAGTAGGTAGGTAGGTATGTGTGAATGGGAAGTATAAATTGGAGTCTATCCTCATAGTAGATAGCAGTAGCTGAATCTTCTTCTCTTCAGACAGTCCATCTAAATTACCAGTATTAAGGGGGAAAAATAAGCACCTGCAAATGCGTCTCTCCAGCATCATCACCTTCCTCTCGTTGGCGGTTCTTCCTGCTACGCTGGCTAGTCCGATTGATAATCAGGTACTACTACTTTTTCTTTTTTCACTAGTCTCTCTGTTCTGGCTACATGAGAATGCTGATCAATGTCAATGGATAGGAATCGTCCATTGCCAAACGCTGCTGTATCCTCTGCGATAACCCCTACGCGCGATGCGGAGCGAACGATAAGCGTGAAGCTGTCCAGACGGAGGAGGAAGTGTTCCATGGACAGGTGAAGCGGTGCTGCGTCAATTGCGATGTTAATAGGTGTGGGAATTAGATGGGGGCTGATCGGTTGACGAGGCTGTTAGCGTGGAGTTATACTGGAGGATGAAGGGATGATTGTGATGGATGTTAGGGGTGGCAGAGTTTGGGGTATGAGGAGGAGGGTTGAAGAGATTTTGATGCGTTGTAGTATTTGGTATACTATTATTAAGTCATGGTGTATGAAGCATGACACTGTCACGTCGCCTGTAAGGCTGCTTTCCCAATAATCAGAATCGGGAGAAAATATCATCTCCCTTAGTCGTTATATCAATACCATGCAATCAATATGTACAATAAGTAACGCCTACACATACACTATCATGATCATATCCTCCCCCCTTCACCCACACCGCCCGCCAACTCGAAAACAGGCGGCCTCGACCCCAACTCGTACACAGGAGGTCGTGATCCCAACTCATAAACCGGCGGAGCAGACACCAACTCAGCAACGGGCGGAGCAGCAGCATCCCCTTCCAGCTCTCTCGGATGATGGTTCTTGCTCCGAGAACCAAAGTATGTCGAAGAAGGCATATCATCATCTGCTTGTCTTCGTGCGGCCTGTATTCTTCTCGAGATCACGAACCAGATCAAGAAGACAATGAGTGCTAAGCCAGCGACACCACCTACAACCCCGCCTGCGATGGCGCCTGTATTTGTTTTGCTCTCCGTATTTGAAGATGCAGTTGTAGGCTGAGCTGTTGCTGATGATAATATCGAGGATGATGCGCTACTATCTGCTGTCGATGTAGATGCAGCATGTGACGTCACCGTAGCAGACGCAGTAGCAGATGAAGCTATAATCCCTGTTAGTTTCGATCCTCAAGCTAACACCAGAGAAGTCCAGCTCACACGAACTCGTCGTCGAAACAGGCGACAACAAACTAAATTCCGAACCCAAGGTAGAAACATCATCCGTACAGCCCACGAACCCATTCGACACGCGCGCAAACGCATCTGTCCCCCTCGAGCAACAAAAGTAATCATTCTCATAATACAGAATGGCCGAGGTATTCCCGCAATGCGGATCCAGTTTGAGAATGTTGCCGCATGCTGCGGCGGAGTGGCAGCAGTTCCCGGGGGCGCAGGTGGCGCCCTTGGGACAGCATTCGCGGTAGGGACCCCAGGTTGAACCGCAGTCGTTTTCAGTGTCGTAGCAGGTGCCGTTGCGGCGGACGGGGTAGCCGAATGGAGGGGCGAGGTCGTTGCTGTCGCTGGACATTTTGCTGGAGTTGGAGCTGGAGCTGTTTTGCTGTTTGCTAGGGGAGGGAGAGGGAGAGGGCAGGGGATGTAGGGGCAGTCTGGGGAAGGGAAACAGACTGGGATGCTGGATTGAGTTTCATGGAGGGTAAGGATCGTTGAGAAGATGGAGCTGGCTTGTTTTTAGAGCATGGTTGTTTAGTGCTCTTCTTGGGTTGCTCGGCGGCTAATGGCTTGCCAGCTCTGGTGTTTCGTGTCGAGTGTCTGGTATGGGGGCCATATCTGCTACGCCGTCTGGAGATCTTAAGCGCCCACGTCTGGAATGGCCAATAACTATCGGTTAAGGCTTTGGGCGACAAGAAAAGAGGATGGCTCGCCAAAGAATTTGCTAAGGATCTTGCTCACAAGAGCAAATACTGAGCTGGGTAAGGCTGCATTCGGGACATTGCACACAGTGCGAGTGAAGGCGGGGGTGGTTGGAGCAGGATCTCCAATTTTTTCTTCCCTTGATATTAACGCTTAGTGAGAGTAAGTCAGTCTGCTAGGGTACCATACCGACGAGTGCTTCATGATCCTTGTTCGTGTGTCTGGAGTAGACGAGTAGTAGCATTGCTAAACTCCACCATAAACAGGGTCTATATGATAGCAGGCGAACGGTGTCCTGGCTATATCCAGTACTACTACTGTACACAGTTAGTGGCTGCTAGCATACAGCTGTTAGTAGTCTCCACTCAATGCTGCGCCAGGACCTCATTTCATGGCTCGGGGATTAGAGCGACGCTCGGAAGATTACGATCGACGTATAGCCGAGACCCGAACGTTTGTATTCCAGCCTCGACAACTCCATATCGTTGTGGACATTTGTTAGAGTATATCTAGCTTCTACAGTCATCGCTGTTTGGCTGCGGCCATAACAAGTATTCCTAGTAATAGCAGTGTCATACAGCGTCGGATAACAAAGTAGCCTCCGAATAAAAACGGCAACACCCGACCAGGAACAGCAACGGATATGCCATCATCCCCCTAAATGTAGCCGGTCGAGCACTAAGTATCTAGCCCCGCTGTAACCACTCTTCATTTTAGTTTAGCACGTAGCGATTATCCTCCTGCTTTTTCAGTCTTAGTGACTTACAGTACTATTCTATCCCTAATGATTCCAGCCAGGAAATTGCCCTTCTCAACTACCACAGCTTAGTACAGAATCACAAGCGCCCCGAACATCCAATCGAACCATGATTCTGATATTGAGTGGGCCCTTGCAGATCCATTCCAAGTTCAGACTCTACTTAATAGATAGAGAGGTAGACTAGCTGATAGCCCCTAACGGAAACATGAGGATGGGCCAACCAGCAGGGAGTATTGGGGTCGGTGCTGAGCGGAGTGGCTGCTGTCGCTCGGTTGGGGTGGGCTTGGTTGATGCTTAAGGCTTACAAAGTAGATTCCTGATTTGGGTCGAAGTCTTGTACGTTGACTGTTGTTAGGATGTATGGAGTCAATGATGCGACTTGAGGGTGATTCATTATTCATGTAGAATTCATGTGAAATTTACACACATAGTTATGAACGATAGGATATCAAAGCATACAGACATGGTAGTACAACAAGCAAGATGTATACAGAACTTCCACCAACTCCTCCAACACCAATAGTAGAAACCAAGCAACCTCGATAACATCCCCAAAACACATAGGGATCCTTGAATCAAACTAAATTCCTCTTCCCCCCGTCTTCCCTCCCTCCAAACCCACCCTGCACCGTGCTCGGACTCTGCAACCGAATAGGTTGATATCGTCTGCCTCGAACAAACCGCACCGCACGCAGTAACCCCAATACCACGAATACCAGTAAAGCCAACTTCATCGCAACACCTCCATAGTTTCCAGAGAACGAACTATCCAAGTGATGCGGTAGCAGTGCATGTGGATGATTGTTGGCGATGATGTTGTTGTCGGCTGACGCTCCAGGCCGTTCATGATGATACCCATGATGGATGAATGTGCCGTGAGGGGTGTATTTATGTTTATCATCGTCTGCTTTTGCATGTGCACCTTGGCCATGTTCTGGAACAGGTAGAGGTGCTGGAGGATGGTATTGCTTTTCATCGCTGCCAGCTGCGTCGTCGGAACCTTGGAGTTCAAGCCATCGCTCGTAGTCGGTTTTGGGTCGGTCGCGGGCGGTGATGGCTACCATTGTTGGAGTGTGGTTTGGGTTGAATTGAAATGATAAATGATAATTTAAATTGTGATAATTCTGACCGTGATGATAATAATAATGGTGACGATAATAATAATAATCGAGGGGTGTATGTGGCAAGACCAAGCAAATGATGAACAGGTGAGAAGCTTGTCTTGGTCAGAGTCAGACTGATGTGGATGTGAATGTGGATGGGTGATTGACATCGAGAAGCACCAGACAAGAACAAGACAAGAAAGACACCCGCCCCGATAAATAAGTGCCAATGCTTTTTTCCTGGACCGGGGTCAGTCAGTCAGTCAGAATGGCACAACTGACTAGTAGGATGCGACACAGCCTACTACCACTACTGTCCGGTAGGACAGGATCACAGGCGATCGCCGCCCATCAAACCGCGCCTAGTACTCGACCGGTTCTAGCGCTACGACGTTACTAGATTAGATCCGGTAGTCCAGGCTACCTAGCGCCGGGCGTTTCCCCTGAGCTGAGGGCGGTTAGGGACAATAACCTGAATCCCCGTTAGTTTATTGGTGTGTTTTCCGTGGGTGAGACCGGATCAAACCAGACCCTGGACGTTAAGCTATTTTCGAGGCTTCAAGTGAAACATTTGGAAGCACTGGTGGTTCATGTGCCGTGGGTTATAATGAACCATCACGTAAAAAAAGCTTACAATTCCTTCGACTTGAAAAGAATAGAAAAAAGCAAAGGCAGCCTTCATAGATGAAAAAAAGAATTTTTAATACGAAACTTTATCACAATAGGCAACAGACTGGACTCCTTGGAGGACAGTCTAGGTAGATACATTAGGTGAGTGACCATTTCTTACCTTGTAAGGCTGATTCCATCTCCTTCCCAGTAAATGGCGCAAAATGGCGAGTCACAAGAGGACACTTGGATTGTGTCTGTCTTCCATTCGCCATTCGCCATTCACCCACCCAGGGTCCTTGGTCCTGGTCCTAATCCTGGCCCATGCAACCCCGCCAGTCTCACAATTCTTTTTTTGGCTTTCACCGGACGGCACGAGCCGCTATGTCCGAATCCTCCAATCAGGTGATGTGGGTGATGGGAGTTGGGTGCAGGGTTCAGAGGGTCGTGTGCTCATACTCATATTCTTTTCTTTGTGGGTGGGTGGAATGCTCGGCTATTCTTAAGCCTGGCGCTTACGGGGTTTGAAGCGATTGGACATTATTGTTGTTTGGTATGTTCTGTCTACAGATTTGTATTACACACGGGGGGGATGTCAATCATTATTGGTGAAGCAGGTAGGAACTGTTGTGCACTGGCGCTGAAATCGATAGCGTTACGCATTCTATGACAGCAGTCTAGAGGCCTATCTAGGCTATGCACAAATAAAGCTCTTGCAGATATATCTTCAAATTGGCACCAAAGCACTAGCATACACTGCGAAAAAAAAATACAGCATTCTGATTAAACAAAAAGGATATCTCAAACATGACCTATGAAAACACATTTACCAACTTATTCCAACAAGCTATCAATTCTCCTATCATTTCAAGCAGTCGTGACCTGTCGCTTAGGCGCCGGCACATCGCCGTTGTAGTGGACTTTGTAGGCTGTAGTAAATCCAGGTTAGCAAAATTTCACGCAGAGAAGTTAAAGGAAACTTACTAGTCGGGAACGGAGAGTAGCTGCCGTAGTCCTCCCGCATGTATACGGAGAACCCAGCTTCCTGGGGAATCTTCTTCAACTGTCCTTGAGCGCCAGGAGCAGGGCGGAGAGTGTCCAGGCGGGCGACAACCCGCACCATGGCGGTCACCGCGGCGAGGGTGGCATCCTTACCCAGACCACTCTGGGGGCCAAGACCATAGTGTAGGTAGGAGTCGAGAGGGCGGTCAAGGCGAACCTCGTCAGGCGATGGGAAGGCCTGAGGGTCACGGTTTGCCTTCGACTATATGGTATTAGTAATAGCAGTGGTTTCCAACTGGGGTGATACGTACCGAGCCGACAAACACCTTCTCTCCCGATTTGACGCTGTATTGGCCGGTCTCATCAGACACGTTGATATCGGCCTGGGCCTCGCGGTAGATGCCCAGGTTGCCGTTCAGGCGGACAGCCTCCAGGCAAAAGCGGGTGAGCCTGTCATTAGCCTCCGCAGTGTTCTCGTTGGCCAGGCGGTTGATTTCCGGGAGATACTTCTGACCTTCGGTAAGGTAGAAGTGGATGATCTGGGTGAACTATTGGAATGTCAGCATCATATGCAACGACATGCAGCATGAGGAAACCTACCATTTGCGACTGAGTGTGAACCATCTCGACAGCTGCCGGCAAGATCTGGCCCCAGGTCACATCGGAGACTCCCAGACCACTTTCCAAAAGGCGCTTGATCAGCTGATCTCCGTAGTCTTTCAAGGCATTGTGGTCGTCGCGGAAGCTATCGATGATACCATGAAGGAAGCCAGGGTGGTTGATGGACTTGACATGGGCTTCCACAACCTTACCCAGCTCCTGGGAAACCGCGCGGGCTGCATGCTGGAGCGGGAAGGACTTGGTAGGGTCAACATCGAAGAAGGTGGAATTGAAGACCACCGCCATGATCATGAACATCTCATGTTCGGTAAAGATCCCGCGGGGATTGCTCTTCGTCTTCAGGGGCAGCGAGAAGACCTTGGAGACGAAATGCACAGGCACGAGGTTTCCGACGCTGTAATCTCGTTAGCATGGGTATAATACATTACTTCGGCCCAGACGACTTACTCCCTTGCAATGTCAACCTGCTTGTTGCCAGCAAGTTTGCAAGACTTCTCGTTGAGTAGCTTCAGGGTAGCATCCTCGTAGAATTCCTTCACGCTATTTCTCCACTGCTCATTATCGAATGACTTGCTCCAGAAGTCAGCGCCTCCCTTTCCGGCATGGATCGAGCTGAGTCCACCCCAAGGCACAGTGAAGTCTTTCTGGTTGTTCAAGACTAATTTGGCGTTGGCGTAGGACAACAGGTTCGGAACAGGCTCCGTGTAACGGGGTCTGTCATACGAATAGTGGGACTCGCGACCGAGGTTCTTCATGATATTCCTGTTCTCGCTGGGGATGGTCATTGGGTAGTGTGCGTAGATGGAGTCAGGCTTGAAGTAGTTGGGGAAGGCCCGCATGGCGAGCTTGTAGAACACACATCCCTGGTTGATGTTGAGATCGTAGCGGACCTCATTGTATCCCCAGTTCGTAAGGTTACGTGGGTTGTAGTCGATCTGGACATATAGTTAATAGCGATTCTTGCGGGCATGCTGGGTCAAGACTGACGGTATAGTATCTGTCACCACGGACGAGAGCCACAGCATCGGAGAGAACTGCGCGGGAGATGGTGTAGGTAGGTGCAATACCAACACCAGGGATCATAGGCTCCTTCGCTTCCTCGGCGACAATACCAGGGTAGAGTTCCACATAGTCTGGGTGCTCGTACAGGTGACGCAAGGAGTCAGCGACATCCGGGTCAGAGTTGATCTCTTCGAACGTTTCGTATGGCTTGAGATCGAAGAACTTGCGGAATTCGTTCAGAGAGCCGACGTTCCACTTGCGACCCTGCTCAATACCAAGAATTTCCACAGATCTCAAGACCTTGGGCACATTCCGTGCACCGAAGGAGCCTGCAATGGTAAGTTAAGTGGCTATTTTGTTTGGTGAAGCTACACTCACTGGCAACATCCTCAATCGCATTGGCCAGGATTCTAACGAGATCCTCGTCCTTGAATGTTCCATCTTCCTGTCGCTTCAGACCGGCAAATGTGCGCTTTGACGGGTCTTTCGGGATCTCTCTCTCATACTTGCCAAGTCCAACGAGAAGCTCACGCATGGAGACCTCCGAGGCAGGCTTGCCCATCAGCTCTTCGTAGATCTCTTCAGTCCACTTTTCATCATTGGCACTAATAGCAGAATGCCAGCGATACGCGAGGTTGAATTCGACGGAGCACTGGTTACCGAGACCCGATGGGGTACTCTTGGTGCCCTCCATCTGAACTCTGGGATCCTGTGGCTGGTCAGCTTGGCACGCTTTGCTTTTCCATCTATCTTTGCTTACCAGACACCATGTGCTGTTGCTGCGGTTCAGGTTGACAATGGTGCGCAGATAATCGTATAGCGTGATGTTGATGAACAGACCGCATGTTACCCTGTGAAGCGTCAGATTTGCATGCTTGTAGTGATGAGGATTGCAGGATGGCATACAGTCGTCCGGTCTGGAAAAGATCGTTGTCATACTTTTCCCAGGCCTTCCTAGCTTTCTCTTCGTCGAGACGAGGATCGGGCTTGTTGAAGCGACCGTTTTCATTGATCGCTGCCAGCTCCTCCACGACCCAATTGTGGAATCTATTTGGTGACCCGGTTAGAACTTTCTAGTATACTGGGAAACGTATTGCGAACCTGCTTAGCATGACCATCAACACGGAGCAGGCCGGCGGGAAAGCCTGGAGCCGCTGTTCCGAAAAGGTATCAGGCTTCAGTTTGCCGTCCTTGAAAGTACGAACCAAGTTCTGGTCTTCCTGATCATCGCCGTACAGGATCGAAAGATCGAGATAGGCTGAGGTCTTGTTGACGTGAGAATTTGTGTAATCAGTCTGGAAAATGTCTAGATTCTTAATCAGCGTTCTGCTGTGATGTTTTTAGAAAGATTTAGCGAACCATGAATGACGAGGGATGCCCAGTCGAAGAAAAGACTCGACACCTTGTTAGGGTGAGGGGTAAACTTCTCGCGCGCGAAAAGACAGTCAAAGACAAGACCGGCATCGGGCAAACCGCCGGGCTGAATAGTCAGAGGAGCGATTGAGCGAGCGTAAGGTGTCCCCGCAGCGCCTAGCCAGGGAAGTGTAGGATTGTTGTTGGAACCATCTGCTGACCGGTAGGCATATTCCTCTCCCATGTAACTGCAGAGTATTAGCGCCAGCGCAAACCACGGGACCGATATCGAGCCTCAACTTACGACAGAGGAGGGTGAGGCAAGGAACCCCACAGTTCATCCAAGAAGGCGTTGGTGAGGTCGACGCGGGTTTTCGAGTTTCCTGGGAGACTGCTGACAAGCTGTCGGAAAGAGTCAATTAGCATCCATGCCGGTCAAAAAGAGATCCCAAGCGCTACGACTCACCTGAATAATCCGCTCCATGAGCATGGTCTTGTCATCAATGTATTCTCCCTTGGCCTTCGTTTTGATTAGATCCTTCAGGGTTCCGATGTCCTTGAAGCCCAAGGCGCGCAGGTCCTTGAACAAGCTCCCCGAGTGCTCTTGCTCGAGATAGGTGCCATCGCCGTTCTGGTTCGGTAGTGGGCGCCGGGACGCATGCAAGACCTGGGCATATTTCTCAAAGACGGACACGCCGTCATCGCTTTCCACACCGTGATCGCTGTGGCTCTCATCTGAGGAGGATTTGCGCGGCGCCGGCACTTTCGACTGGCGCTTCTGGCCGTTCACCTGTGTGCCATTCGGTTTCGAATCGCGATCGCCTTTCGACGATCTCTTGAATGTCGAAGAGAATCGGCGCAACATTATGATTATACAACTTAGATAACTTAAATAACTTAAATAGAAAACAAAGACAAAATAGAGTGTATTGGAGGGGAACGCGGACGAAAAAGAGGGCGCAGAGGAGAGGAGAGAAAAGGAAAGATCAATCACAAGCTATTGGGACTGTGATCCGTCGGAAGAATAGGGTTTTAAACAGACAATGCATGGGGTCAACATGCTTTGGAACCAATGTCAGATAACAAATTATCAACTGTGCCCGCCATGTTGTGGACCCAGCCCTCGAATCCAAAGGGTGACAATAGTAATGTCCGACACCGCTAGCATGTGCGCCGTATCGAAGTCGCTGCTGATCTTTTGATCAAGCCCCGCGAGAATGTGCTACGATTTCCTTGGGTATGGCTGAACCTTTGTCCCGGAAAGAGTGGAGCAAGTCGGGTTGGCCAAAGAAAGGGGCGTGTGCAAAGTGGGAACAAACGTGGTTCAGCTGTGCAAGGTCGGTCTTGGATATCGCCCAAGGTGCGGGAGACAAATGATATGCGGGGATGCGTACATGATCTACAAATTCCTTCACTTAGAGGAAACCTGAAGCTGATTGACTGGTCAAGAACTTGTTCGCAAGGTTCAGGGCGCCACTCGAGCGGCGTAGGCATTCCCCTTGCCAGCCGAGACAAATGTCGTAGGAAATCCAAAGAGGACCATTGTCATCATACTCTTACAAAGAGGGGAGGCGGAAATCCCACTGGCTCAGTGCCGTAATCACAGAGAAGCTACAACCTGTATTGGCGACTTGTCGATGCCAAGCAACCGTGTCGATTCGAACGGGTCCATGGCACTGGAACCGGAAAGGGTCATCTCCACTTCGGCTCCAAGGTGCCAATTGCAGGCTGGCATTTAGTAGTCCGCGGTCGGAGCAAAACACCGGACGGTGCCGAATTATTGGTGAAATTCCCATGTTCATCCGAGCGCAGCGCCGCAGGTTGGCAGAGTGGGCCTCTAGAACTCTAAGCCCCCATCTCAGCTTAACTAGTCCTCAAGATTCTGGCCAATGGAGTCGAGATGGAAAGGATTTGACGTCTGAGCCGAGGGGATCATCTCCAGCCCACACAGCTCACCGATTATTGGAGGTTGCAGGATGACCTCGTCCATCTGCAGCCCCTCTAATGCAAGGGTAGCACCAAAGTGGGATAGGAGGTGATGGGCAGACCTATACGGAGTAGGCACGGCACAGGCGCATATTTGTAGGGGTTGTGGTAATTGGCGGGGATCCCAGTGCAGTGAGGAGTCCGTAGAGGAAGGACAAGATTTCGACACGAATTGCAGCGGAGTCCAATCAAGAACAGACCTTAGGGTACCCACGCGTTCGCAACACGGGATCATCCTCATTTAACTTTCCTAGGTGTTCGTGGCTTGTTGCCGTCAACTTTCCATGTCAGTGGCAGCATTCATTCACACACGCGCACCCTACTTGGAATCGTGGCCTGTTCCCATCCATGAACTTCGATCACGCCTGTTTTCTTTTCCATTGAAGGGTAATCTTAACCCAAGTGTGACAGGTAAGAAAAAAGCAAACAGAAACGTGCAGAGACTGACACGCAACTTTCCATCTACACGGGACGAGCTAAATAGTGGATCAGTCCGGCGAACTGGAATGAGGCGATCTGCATGGGTAGGGTACCCACATAGTACTAATTTGGTGAAGTTCATCATGAGGCCGCCCGATCGATCTGATCCATGAAAGTCTGATGTGGTAGTTCCTAGAGGAAGCCAGTGAAGAGCGGACAATTAGCTAGCGATTAGCGATAGGGATTAAGGAAGGAAAGGACATCCAGGATCATGAGTTTCGACCGGTCAAAACATGACTGTGCTAAGACTTGTGGCTGGCTGGCTGACAGCCAAGTCAGTCTGGGTAACTTGGAGCGAGGCAGAGAGAAAGGGGATTTCATCGACTGAGCGTCAGCGATAGAATCTAGGTCATACTTGGCAAACAGGGTAGTTATCTACCGCCCTCGAAAATTGTTTTATGGAAAGGTAATTGTCGGAGTTCTGTGAGAAAGGGATGGCCGAAGGTGGTCAAGGCAAGGCAGTCCAGTCCCATGGGAGCCGATCGGGAGCATCCGAATGGTTCGTGGAGGCTCCAGCCTTCAGGCCGTCCAGGCGTCGAGGCCCACACGGGCGGGAGATACCTCAGGCGGTCAGGCCTCCCTCAGCTGGACGATCCGCCCCAAAGGGGGTTAGGCTGATCACGATAGGTTATCCACATCATTTTGTCCCAATGCTACGTACTATTGTTGTGCACTGCGAGGACGGCTGGCAGTCGCAGTTGCAGCTGTCCCAGGTGGGTCTATTACAGCCCATGACTCTGTGCTGACCCCAGAAATGTCTAGCACGCTTTTTGGTGGAGTGTTACTCCTTCCTGTTTGGCCGGGAATTTTTCCCCCTGCAGCTACTCACGATAGTGCTTCCTTTGGACTGCACTGTGAGAGGACCTACATCTGGCTTGCTTGTCGAAGCGCTGAACTCTGTCTATAACAGATACAGGAACTAATGTCTTCTGTCGCTTGCCGGGTCCCCCCCCCTTTCGCCTCCCTTCATCGCAATTTCTGCCATGGTGGAGAAGATCAGCCTTCTGCGCCAGCCACCCTTTCTCCCTCAATCCACCCCTTGCTTCTCGCACTTTGAGGTCTGATTTCCCTGTCTGTGATTGTGCGCTTAAGTTGACAGTTGCTGTGGTGCATATACACAAAATTCGGAAAATGTCTTGAAGCCCTTCAGCCATTCAAGTCAGTTATCGTTTTCTTTCGGGAAGACCCTGTACGACATACTTGAACAGATCGCTTACCTATTATCCGATTGAAAACTCTGATCTCGTCAATCGTATTAGGTCATATACAAATTTGGATGCCTCCTATGATCACAGTATCTCCACCGGCGGAAAACTCGGAAAAGATCATCTTCCTCGTGTCTTGGATCTCTGACTCGGGCGGTGGATGATCTCTAAATGGGCAAAGGCGTGCTAACACCACGATCTTGGCGGCCTGCCATTTACTTTTAAGAATCTTTTCCTGACACCCGAACCCACCTATGGGTCGTGCTCAACAATCACCCACTAGATTAGGAACGTCAAGACAAACTAGTGTTGCAAGTAATGCCAAATATGGTCCGTGAAGGTGATCGCCGGATGGGTCTATGAGTGTGGGCATGGCATTTTCCATACGCAAAATCCCTGTAGTGGCAGTCTTAGCCTTTGGCCACCGTGCCTGACGGGCTGAGCTGACTGGACGGATTTCCGCACGTCCGCAGCTGACGTCCGACAGGGCCGTGAAGGCCAGTGGAGTACATCCTCGCCAAATGAAAACCACTGGGCGATAGTGGAAGGCAAGGGAAAAAAAAGATGTGGTGACAGCCTTCCCACACTAGCTGCCAGGAATGTCGGCTGGTACAACCTCATCCGCCAACCACTTTTCTTGTGTGTTCCACTTAGCGAAACTAACCCGGGCAAGAATCCGAGCCTGCAGGAACTCTATCAGGGGAGGGGAGGGGGGAAGCGTCCGCGTGCACCCTCTTTGACGGGCGCGGCGTAGGGCCCCGAGCCTTAGTCGTTCATGCATAAGCGGCAGTACTGCCCCATCTCCCTCGAATGTATATACACCAAGCCCACCTCCACGCTGGTCAGCACCTAGCCTACCATCTGGAAAGGAGATCAAGTCCCTCCACGCTGCGGCTGCATGAAGACTGGCTGAGCTACATGCCCCTTTGTACTGTCCGTTGAAAACAATGGAAGCCACACAGACGCCGTATGGCCCTGCACGGGTCCCGAAACACTTTGTCCTGTGCTTTGATGGGACTGGAAACAAATTTAGCGGCGATCAGTCGGATAGCAATGTTCTCAAGATCTTTCGGGTAAGTAAGCTCCAAGCAAGCCCCGCGAGACTAGTTGTCCTTTATGATCGCTTCGCTCACGGATTCTTTTCGAAATATGAAGATGCTCGATCGGAGTAAGAGCCACCAGTTCCACTACTACCAACCTGGTATCGGAACCTACGTAACAAGCAAGTCCCTTTCTAGCCATGGGCGAATCCAAAAGATCAAATCGGCATACTTCAAAGCTAAAGACTCCGCCGTTGGCTCTTCTTTTGATGAGCATGTGATGGGCGGTTATAAGTTCCTCATGAGATACTACCAAACTGGTGACGATATCTATTTCATCGGGTTTAGTAGAGGATCTTATATCGCGCGTTTTCTAGCCGAGATGCTCGACTATATCGGCTTACTCGAAGCCGGAAATGAGGAGCTAGTTCGATTCGCCTGGAAGACGTTCGCCAAATGGCAGCAGCGACGGGACGACAATAAGGAGGAAAAGGAAGAGAAGAAGAAACTGTTCCGCTACATGAAGGCGTTCCGCGAAACGTTCAGTCGTCCTATCAGTAGGATCAAGTTTATGGGCCTATTTGATACGGTCAATAGCGTTCCAAGGTTTGAATCAGCATGGATGGAGAGAAGTAAATTTCCTTATACCGCCCGAAGCTCGGCTCTAGTCATTCGACATGCGGTCAGCATCGACGAGCGACGAGCCAAATTCCGCCAAGATTTGATTTCTGAAATCAGGCCATGGCATGATAAGAAGCATCCCATTCAAGAGCGAGGACGACAGTATATGCAACACCTCCGTCACCCCCTGGCGGGCCGCAAGAATGGAAATGGAAATGTGCCCGTGCTCAGGATCAACAGCGACAATATTGGTACGGACGATGGCGCACCACCCGCCAAACACGATGAGGAAGAAACAGCATCCGTCTATCGTAGTGCCCACGCCTCTCACGAGAATCTTCATGATAGCCACCCATACCGTGCAAGCAACCTTGCAGTGCCCGGAAGGAGTCTGAACCTCGCGGTGCCTATACCCACGGAGTCAACCGAGGACCTAAGCTCTATCAGAAGTGGACAGTCTGGGCAGTTGTCGCTTAATATACAGCTCGCAACAGGCCAATTTGATGAAGAGGACGAGAGAAAACAGGACATACAAGAAGTTTGGTTTCCTGGCTGTCACGCTGACATTGGAGGAGGATGGAAACGTGCAAAAGGCGAGGCTTGGCCACTGAGTCACGCGCCCTTGGTGTGGATGGTCCAGGAAGCGAAAAAGGCCGGGCTGCAATTTGACCCGAAGAAATTGAAGCAGTTCGAATGCGACGAAGAATACGATGGCGAATATACCCCAATCAACGAACACAGCCAATGGCACCCTCGGCACGAATTCTGTCGCGATCCTATTCACAACAAAGCTGTGAACGGCCAACACATGCTCAAGCTAGCCGGTGATGAGCGAAAGAAGGATGCTTCCGCGCCAAGTAACCGCTTCCACGATGCCCTTGTTGCTTCCAGCACGGATGGCTTCTTGCACGACTGTCTGGAATTCAATGCCGGCTTACCGGCACTCTCCGTCATAAGCTGGCGCATAATGGAATACCTTCCATTCCGTCGGATGGACCTCCAGACAGACGGCTCATGGAAGCCAATCCGCTGGCCCCTCCCTTGCGGAGAGGTTCGCGACATTCCCGACGATGCTCAGATCCATGTCTCCGCACTGCGTCGCATGCAGACGAATCCCAATTACCGCCCCGGTAATTTGATCAAGGGCGGAGGCGGGCGCGGTGTCAAGGTAGCACCGAAAGAATTAGGGATTGGGCAATGGGAGCTAAAAGCCCATGGGGGCGACCTTGTGCGGGAGACATATGTGCGGAAGAAGAATAAGGACGCGACAATGTGTGAAGATGAATGCCATCATTAACAACGCCTACCATTTCAGCCGAATCTCTTTCATTTGTGAGCTTTCAGTTTCTGGTATGTAAATTTCAGATTCTCCTCCAATCTCTGCTCTGTCTGGATTATCCTCTCTTTTCTTTCTCTCTTGGTGTGTTCGGCTTTTCTGGAACCCATTAAAACTTAATTCTTTTTTCTGTATGGGTTGTTGGGAACTCGGGTTATGATTTGATTTGTTAGTCTGAGATGGTACTATTCAGCTGTTCTGACAGCACTATTTAATTATTGAAGAGAGGATATTGTATTCACCCTTGGATTCATGATGAAACGTTATAGATGGTGATCACGTAGGTGGGCAGGAGAAGTACTTTGATATCCAGTAATTGTCTGAAACACGGACTATAAGGGCCGTTCCAAAGGGTATAAAAGTACGTCTGGCCTTAGACACACTTTATCTGCATCCAATGGCGATCAAACTAAGTGAAATCCTAACAGTAGTATATGTATCCCGCTCCGGCTTGCAACGGTACCGAAGGCATAAGCTCAGCATCATACAGCACAAAGATTGATGACAAAGGAGGAAAATGCAACATAACTGAGGCATTATCTTTCAAATTTAACTCAATTTAACTATTATAAGCCAAGCCAAGCATTACCTCGGCGGCAGAATGCCAATCTGTTCCATCGGCCACTGAAGCCAAGCTCGATAAACAGGCTCACGGAGCTGATTATAGATCTGCGACAGGATATGAGTACCCCAGCCCTTCATGCACCAAATCCACTCCAATTGATGTAGCAGCACACAAAAGTACCCCACAATCACCATAGAAAGCGGTCGGTATTCTTTCAAAAAGCCTAGAAAGTCATGAGGAACACGCAGAAGCCACATGAACACGTCGGACGTCTCGAGCCGACATCCTTTCTCATAGCAAATTGTGAAGCAAGTGCCCAGGTGAAAGATCGCGACATGATAAATTTGCTTCTCGTGAACGTCTGTGACTTCATCTATGACGAAACGGCGAAAGTCCTCCAGGAATTGGTGCTGCGTGGGTGGTTCCGGGACCTCGGAATGAGCATCGCGTTGTCGATGCACGCTGAACAAGGTTCTCAACGGTCCGGCTTTTAGGGACTCCTCGGCAAAGTCGACGATGGTTCCGGTGCCTCGGATAAGCATTAGCCAATTGGCGATTTCGTGGTCTTCCCAGAGCAGGAAATTTCCTAGTTTGAGTGGCTTGGCGCAGCAAATGAATGATGAGAGAGCCGAGAAGAGGAACAATGGGGTACAATTGTCGTGGGTAATGTTGGCTATTTCCGGCGTTGCGAGTTTCAATGATGCATCGTGATGGAAGCTTGCCTGGGAAATATAATATTCTTGTTTTTCTGGGCGTAGTACGGCTAAATGCAAAGCAGATACGGCCAGAATGGCGCGGAGGGTGTAAGGCGCTGTAAACGCGATCTGGGGCACTTCAATGCGCCATAGTGTCTGGATAACGGGATGCAAGGAGAAGGTATAGGCGGTTGAAGTGCTGTAGTGATGCAGAAGCTCCAGATCGGCAATGGCCAATTCGGGTCCGGGCGCAGCCAACTGCTGCTGACTTGCACCACCGCTCGGAGAGCTGGGGTTGCTGGGTCTGTAGTCGGATTGCGGGGTGGACGTTTGGCTAGAAAAGGAGCTTTGATCACCTAGCAGGGTCGATTCTGCCATTCGATTTGAGAGAGCGAAGGAGCAATGGACTCCATGTCTCTTGCAATTGCTGCATGCCGGCTTTTCTTCTCCACACTGAGGATCAGATCAGTCCGTTGTTCTCAAATTACAAATGTTCTGCCCACTCGCATCCCGTTGGCATACCTTGACCTTTCGCAGTTTACATTGTTGACAACCACTTCGTGACTTTCGATGAGACCGGCGGCCTTTGATAGTAGAGCTGCTGTGCATTTCGGCGACGGTTCGTCTAGGTTCGGCAGCACTATGTGTATGTTGTACCGAAGCCAATCATGTACACCTGAATGATTAGGCAACTCAGGTGTTTGGCAGACGAGACACACAATACATGTAAGGATTGTATGCTAAGCATGCAGGGTCCCAAAAGGAGGTGGTCTAAAGTTGGCGGCCAACGGAATTTTGACTTGCTTATCCAGGGTCCAAATCTTCAAGTGGACTCTGGGCATTAGCAGGGCGCATCTCTTCCGTTATCTCTTCTTCAGGTGTCGCGGATGCCTGCAATAAGCATTGCGGGAGTCTAGTACTAAGGCTGCATTTATTTTTGGTCAATCAGGCTGCCACGTTCCGGTTGTAGTTGTTTCAAGACCTTCGGCACATCAATGATACCTAGAATGATGGAAGCCTGAGCCTGCAAACTTAGCTCTTCTTGGCCTGCGCTAGTATTATCTGCCGGGTGCAAACGTGGCAAACGTGACCCTTACGGCTCCACCTCAATTTATGCTTATGATGCTTCAGCTGACTAGCTTATGCACAGAGAATATCAATCCTTCACTACAAAATCCATGGCGCTCTTTGCGGTTACTATGTCACTTAGGCAGTAGAGATAGTGATTATTAACAAGATCTATCTTATTCATATTATGTTGAGGTAGTATCACTGTAGGCTTCGTCACGTGGTTGCGCTCCGGCCGCCACACCAAGCACCCCTTCGCGCTCGTTCCGCTGCGCGTTCCTATATAGCAATACAACACTAACTTCGCTGCATTCTTTTGCTTCTTGCTTCTCCACTTGTAGAGCGTTCGAACATATTATTCAGGCATCGAAAGCTGAAAGCACTCTCTCTCTAAATCCTGCATCGGATATCCTGGGGCTCTTGAAACCACGGTCCAGATGTCGACGGCATATAGCTTCAAGGTGCTCCTCGTTTTTGAGATGTATTTGGCTCACTGTAGGGGTCGCGCTTGTACCTATTCTTCCCTCAATGTCTTTTAGGAGTTAGCGTAGGGCTATTGATGTATTAATGGTACAAATTGCAAGTTGCGCTGCTTACCTGTTGCGATGCCGGTGTTGGAGTTACCTCTCTGCATTGTGTTTGGGCCTAGCCCTTCTCCCAAAGAACCTGCACCGGAGCGTTTGGATGCAGCTGCATCGAAATCATCGTCACCAGAGAGCTAGCTAATGGTCAGTTATACCCAAACAACTAGTGCGCAATAAATGCATTCATCCTTACATCATAGGACGCTGCGACATCAGCCTCTTCACGTTTCCCGCCTCGTGCCTGGTGTTTCTTGACGCTTTTGACTCCATATGTGACTGTGTTCACTACTAATGCAGTGCCTAGTGGTTGCTAAGTGAGTGACTGACTGTATTAAGTCGGGGTTAAACGGAGCTACTGACTCGTGAATGGCAGCAAGGCAATGTGCCCAAAGAATTTTGCGGTGCCGACACCAACATCACGAGCGACAGTCCGTTTGACTTTCCTCTCATCGTCTATTGGGCTGTCCTATAGTATATTTAGCCCAAGTTATTCTTCTTATGAATATCACGAGGGGTAAATACCTTTTGACGGCCGGATATCATGCTAACAAGGTCTGAAGCGCTTACTATATCCTTTGCCGCATTAGTGAATCCATTCCAGTATTCCTTGGCAGTACTATCAGATGAGGCAGAGTCTTCTGCTTGTAACTTGTATACGCAACGGTTGATTCTGGGTTCACAGAAGTTGAGAATTAATACCCAAACGGACACGCAACAACCAGCAGACAGTTCCCACTTACAGCACGATATCAGTGACTTTGATCCGGTTCTCCTGTACCAAGACTGCAGCTGCTTCGGACGATACCAGGAGCGATGGTTTGTTCCAGATTTGATACATGGCTAGACATTGTTTGGTGATACCGCATGTCTGTACCTGCGAAGGGAAGGAGCGATAGAACGATTGAATAGCATTCTCAAGTCCTGCTTCTCCCTCTACTTGTCGCCGAATGGCCTGAGTCGACTGTTGAACATCTGTACGGAGACAAAACGTTATCGCCTGTGCCAGGCCTTCGGAGGTAAGCGTCCTGCTCATCAGGGGCGAAGCGCCAGCTCCAATTCTGGCAATTGTCTGTGCAGTTGACAAGTAACTAGTTAAGTCAGTAGCAGCACGCGTGCTCGACCGGAAGATATTGAGTAAGCTCACTTTTCTGTGGGGGCGATGATCACGCTTGGCTTCCCGTACTGCAGAGCCAACTGTGTGCTGGCTTGGCTTCCATTGTGTACTATAACAGCCACTCTGGGAAGTAACCACTCTATAAAGCTCATCAGCGCCAAGGTAAAATATGTATAAGTAATGCTCTTAGCTTACCAAACGGGACAGACTGCGTGACGAGCACGTTGTCACTGTTCAATAGCTCACCAAGGCGTCTACACTCCCTGGACAGTAGGGCACGGTATCCATTCTTGAGAATAGCATCTTGGATCATCAGCGCCAGATGGTATATATTCTTAATGCTATTCTCTGGTAGCATTATATAGATAGGTGCGGGACCTGAAGCCAGAAAATGGTGCAGCTCTTTTCTGGGGGTGAAAGAAAGATCACGTTGTTCGAATAGATAACCCGAAATCCCTATGGCTCTCATCAGCTTCATACACGCCACTAAATGCTCTAGAGTAGCAATAAGCCCTACCATGATTACTGCTCCAGTCATTTGGTCGTGGGACCAAAACTTTTGAACAGAAATACGTGTGGGGAATTTCATGATCAGTCACGAGCCTTCCCGCTGTGACTGGGGATATGCTCATCAAGCCCAGAACTTGTTGTCGGAACTGATTGATTGGCTTGAGTATACTTTCAGATAATAACGAATTATATGTTAGCCTATTCCGATAGTTGAAGTTTCTCCTGCTTACTCACACATTCCATGTCGATTCTTCAACTATGGCATAAGAGAGTACGTTGGCTGTAGATTGGTCGACCCCATCGTATGGGTTTACCCTGGCATGTGGATGGGGAAATGCTCTAGTCGGGGATTGAGGCAAGGCTGACATGATATGAAGAGGGATCGAAAGTCGTTCAGCGCAATGGATGTGGGCACGGGCCATGGGATTTGCAATGATTGCGTCTGCCAAATAAGGTCGCCGGTCTCCATCGAAAGGAGCAATGCAAGCCCTCCAGCACCGGTGATAGACTTCATAATATGATTCCTGAATACTCCACAGATATTGGCGCCGAGCCTGAGCCTCGTCTGAAGGTTGGGAACCACCCATATTATGCTAGCAACGTTAACCGAGACTCTTGTCCCTCGCTAGAGGGTACGTATAGCAATTACCATGGATTGGGGTAGCTCATGGTCATAGGTTATGGCGAAGAAATCAAGTCCCTGACTTCTGACCAAGTGTTCGCAAGATGCAGCCGCAGCAATTCGAACTCGATGCGAGTCTCTCGAAAGTTGTTTTGCCACAGCTAGAAAGGGCCTTATACTCTCTATTCCAATTTTTGTCAGCTATTGGTCAAGGCATGAAAGGATCTGGTGTCAATACCTTCAACAACCATTAGCACGATGTCCAAAGGCGGAGGCTTAATGTTTTCCCTTGTCTGGGCAGTTTGACCAGGATGTTGAGACTCCTTTTCGTCTAAGCCCACGCTCACTAATCGTGCCTGCACTTTTGGTCGCATAAAGGCCTGAATGAAAGCAGAGGTGCGCGACGCAAGGTCTGGGCTGAGACTGAGTTTCTCATCTTCTGTGCAAGCGACGTGTATCGATAGTGAGCAATATATCCTCCAGTTTAGGAACTTAGAATTGCGAGAAGAACCTTACCATCAGCGGCACAATAGTTCCCCAAGTCACGAGTATCATTCGTGAATTCGGGAGCAAAGTCCGGCTCTATCGTAAACAGAGAGATTTCCGAGGAGACACATGAATTGCGTGCTGAGGAGTATGCAGGCGGAGGATCATCAAAACACCCATCATTCTCATGACAATTCTCCAGGACTTTGACCTCTTTATTATTAGCCATGATTTTTCTGCGTTGAAGCTGATAGAAGTTTCTGCGAAGTGATGGAGCAATCGTCAAAGTGAAAAGGAAAGAAGAATTGTTTTGCGGACAAAATTATTTGCTCCTATTTCTGGCCTGATTAATTCTCGTCAAACCCATACTCTATGGGGTATAGTTGATAACATTGTGACCTTATAAAATGGAGCCTTGGATTGAAGTGGTAAATATAGTAATAAGACCCTCACGCAACGTGTACCGGGCTGAGCAGAACCGAAGGGGTATTAGGGTGGCATGCGTGGAATCGCTTCACACAGCAAGATAATAGGTAACAGGGCCAATGAGCATCTCGTGTACCATGGATCCGCCGATGATCAAATGCGTTGAAGTGTCAATCCGCAACAATCCACTGGGCTGCCTGGGGAAACTTTCGGGTTCGTATTCGGGTTCGGGACAATGGTCCAGGCTTTGATCTACTTTGATGACCCACATAGCTTGATATCGACCATGACATTCTCTCGGCAGTATGAGAATCAAATACATTGTGACATGCCTGAGTGGTAGACTCGAACCCGAACCCGATGGGTATGTAACAAATGCTACTGCCTAAGATTGCGTCTTGATGCAACAAAAGAATTCTCTTTCGGTGTCATGGACTACTGCTTTAAAAGGGCTACAATAGCCCACCTTGCTTCTATACGATGTATCCCGAACGATTCCAATTCGAAGCCTTCTTGATAGACACTTACAACGATTTCATCTTCGGTATTTTGCAACTATGTTGTTCCTGAGATCCACTTTCGTTCTATATGAGTACGACCCCAGCCTGGCAGCTGCAGTTATATTTGCTGCACTGTTCATCTTGACCACGGGATTCCATCTCTATCAAAGAATTCGAAGTCATGCTAAGTACTTTAATCCCTTTATTGTCGGTGGAGTGTGTAAGTTAACCTTCTAGTTGAAGAGGTATGCGATCATGTGTGCTATCATTTACTGACCTGCGCTTTTCAGTCCAAGTGATCGGCTATGTCGCTCGCGCGAAAGCCCATTTTGACCAAACCTCAACTACCCTATACTCTATACAAACTCTTCTTCTTCTACTGGCACCAACCCTCTATGCAGCCTCGATATACATGGTTTTAGGGAGGATCATCATATTTCTAAATGCGCCTCATCTAAGCGTAGTCCCCGTAAAGTGGATGACGAAAATTTTTGTCTCTGGCGACGTTCTATCTTTTATCCTCCAAGGTGCAGGTAAGCCAAAGAACCCTTCCAATACCCACGAGTCGAATTGTACTAATCTCCACGTTTCAAAGGCGGCGGTATAATGGCCAATGGCTCCACGAGTTCCATGAAAATAGGCCAGTGGGTCATTGTAGTGGGTCTATGCGTCCAACTACTTTTCTTCGGGGCCTTCTTAATTGCCTCTATTACATTTCATTGCAGAATAAGCAAGGACCCTACAGCAGATTCAGATAAGGCAATGAGCCCCACAAAAAGCTGTTTGCCGAAAGACTGGAGGGGTCTTCTATTCGCATGCTACTTCGTTAGCGTCCTGATCCTCGTCCGATCAGTTTACCGTCTTATTGAGTTTGCTCAAGGTAATAGTGGCTATGTGATTAGCCATGAAGTTTTCCTATATGTTCTCGACGCGTCAATGATGTTTTTGGTCATGTTGACTATGAATCTGTTCCACCCGTCGATTGTTCTGCAAGATGGCACTCATCATAAGAGTCTTGAACTAGAGGAACTTGGCTTGCGGCGTGAGAATGGAGATATGTGAAACTTGAATTTCAAACCTTTTGCGCATTTTGTCTTAGTTGTCTATCATTTTTCATGTTCTTCTCGTCTATGCTCCTCCTACTTTTCGACGTGTACTGATATATGCCTTTGCCTGCTCCTGATACATTATCTCTTCAATGTAAATAAATGGTCTTCCAAGCTGTTCAATATTACCACGGCCTGAATGTGTCAAAACTTTTCCATAAGTCTTTCCGTCCGACGACTTTAACGTAAAACTAGTAGTGTTCTATAGTGCCAAATCAACATGCAAAGCTATATTTCATTCGATAGACTGGTTATTTTTTTTCTCCTTGTTTTATTTACTTTGACTTGTGCACTGTAGTACTAACCCCCAGAGATCATGTTTCAGTGCTGTGAAATAGTTCTCTCGAGAATTCTTAGCAAACACTAATCTTTCGGCTTATGTTAACGGACAGCCAGATGGCCATATTATGTCTCTTATCAGAAACCTAACTCTGATGTCCAAGCCATACGCTCGATTCCCAATTACATCCAATGTAAAGTGTACGCTGAGAGTTACTCGATTAGATAGCATTAAATCATTTCTCAAATCGAATTCTCTGAATGACTCTAAATTCTAAATCTGGCAAATTTTTGTATATACTTAACTCTAGGCTGTATAGTTCAAACTGCTATTAACAATAGCGAACCAAGAAAGCCTCACAACTATCCCGTCTTACACTATGATCGACTTTCACAGTAACTTTGCTCTTCAGTTACCAAGCTTGAATCCACCCCAATTCAATCTTGTAAAAGTACCCAGAGGATCATAGCGCTCACGGATCTCTCTCATCCGCTGCACATTCTCGCCCGGGAATCCAGCAAAAGGATCCTGCCAGTCACCCCCGTCTCCCATGTAGATGAAGTCCCTGGCGAGTCCATTGCTCTTGTTTATGCCATGCAGGTGTTCCACCAGCTGACGAACCCACGCCTCGACGCGAAGATCATCTTCAGCGTTGTCCCAGCCTGTGCTTAGTTGCCACCCTATTGAAAGTGTGTTAGCCAGAGGGCGGGTCCTGCTGAGCCACTTAAAGGACTTCTGAGGGAAACTCACAGATTGTAGGCTCTTCCGCTAGTCCCCAGACGTTACCAATCCCGTTGGTGTTTCCTACTCTGACGGCACTTGAAGGCGAAATGTTAATCACGAAAGTGGGATAAAGACCTTGAACATCGGCGATTTGGTTTACTGCTGCCTTCCACGTCTGATACATTGAGTACAACACGTCAGAGTCGGGATACATCGAATGATGGCCGAATGTGACGCTGTTCTGTGGTCAGTTCTCTGGCAACCAAATACATGACGGGTGAGTGGGCGTTTACCGGAACATTTGCTTGGGAGAGTCAAGGTTCGCAGCCCATTGCTTGGAGGTCGTGACATTGTTAACTTTGTATACTCCAGGAATAGCAGTAAAGTTGGCAAATTTTGAGGGAGGGTTGCTAATTCCCTCTTGAACTCCCAAAAGTAAGGGTGAGACGCTCCCAGTCGTGGCGTTGTAGGTGATGGTTAGGACGGAACCAGCGGCAATAGAACTGTCACCATCGGCAACAACCCAGTCGCATGACGCCTTGATAAAATCGTGAACTGCCGTCTCGTTGAACTCTTGGATTGTCGTGCTGATATGGGGCATAGAGTACGTTTTGAGGGTGAACTTGGTGACAATGCCGAAGTTGTTCGCGCCTCCTTTCAGAGCCCAAAACAGGTCTGGATTCGAAGTGGCATTAGCGGCAACCTGCGTGCCATTTCCCAAGACGATGTCGTAGTTGACCACATTATCCATGGCAAATCCGTACTTATTGATAAAGTAGGATACACCACCAATCAGGGTCAGACCAGGCACACCAATAGTCTTCAGGCGTCCGCCAATGGCAGCCCGACCATATGGATCAAGCGCAGAATAGACATCGTACCACGTCATTCCTGGAGTGACCTCAATCGTTTCGTTGTTCACGCGATATTGTTTCATGTTATCGAAAGCCAGAAGCACACCGCCATTGATATTGTTCGATCCAGGATACTAGACAGCGTATAGTGTCAATGAGGATATAGACTCCGCGTCAGAAGCTTACTTACATTCATATGCCCTCCGCCTCGAACCGCAAATTGGGTACCACATGTGGCAAAGAGACCGACGGCATCGGCTACCTGCTCAGCCGAAGTAGGAAGAAAGATGCAAGCCGGGTCAAGATCTGCTCGAATATCCCAGTAGCTCGTAGCCTGAGAGGTGTAGTTGGCTGACTCAGGATAGAGAACCAAATTTGAGTATAATCCAGCAAGCTTGGTGCATGCGCATTTAGCTCCTGTTTCTAGGTCCACAGTGCTGATAGTGGTCGTGCTGGTTGTATTGATGCCTCTTTGACCAGAACCGACTAGGGATGATCCCAAGGCAGAAAATGCCAAAGATGCTAGAAGCAAGAGGAATTTCATTGTCAGAGTCTCAACGATTACTTGATAAAGTGAACTGATAAGTAAGGAATGCCGTGGTCAAGTGTGAGCTCTTTATACCTTTTCATTCTTGAGGCGATGCCACAGCCAATGCTGATGGAATCCGGCTGCCTTCGGACTCTTTCGATCCGAAACGATTCATTGTCACAGAAAATGATCATCCACCTGTTCCTTGAGTGATTCTACCTATACTTGGATTGATGCCAAGAGAAGGCTGAACCGGTGTGGACGATGAGCACCCAAGGTTGTTGTATAGAGTGGAGTACAGAGTGGAGCTCCCAGATTTAAGCCGTGGTCGGGTTCGGGTTCGTATCACCGTCGGCCTCGGGTTCGGATCTGTCGCAGCACAGGAAAATCATCCTCACAGCCCAAACATGGTACCAGATATGGCGGGTTTCGTGTTCCCTGGTTTCATCGGCGTAAGTGGGATAAATCTGCGCGAACTTACCAAGGCATGTGATGGGCCATGCTGATCCTGACTTGATTTGGACACAATGAGCTTAGTTGGGAAGGTTTGCGACGGTATAAAGCGAAACATAACACTACTGCACAGAAGAACGGGCTGCATTCTGGAAGAATGCAAGAACAAGGGCATCCACGTTCTACTATTGAGAGCATCGGGCCTCGTGACATTCAAGACTACTTTTTTGTTATGCCCCGGAAGAGTATTGTCCTGGTCATCATCGTCGTGTTGCCTATACCCCCGGTAGGGCTGACATTTCTCAATATCGGGAGGGTGATTAGTTGGACTGCTGCTGCTGCTGCTGCTGCTATTGTTGCGGTAGCGGTGGTTGTAGTTGTACTTCTGCACCGTAGTATTTTCCGAATCAATGGAATCTTCTTCTTCTTCGCTGAGTCGCGGTGGATTAAGTGTCAGCTGATGGTAGTACAATTAATTATACGTAGGTAGGTGGTATAGGGATGTAGTAGTAGTAGTAGTAGTAGTAATGCTATTGGGTACATTCCCCGTATGCAGGGTCGGGATGGATTGGCTACCAATCAATCCCTGCATAGCGGAAATGACAATCTTGGGGTAAAAGTGATTGGGTTGAATTGATTGGAGTAGTAAAGCAGATAAGCGCACCAGATAAATCTTCTGAGTGGCTAATCAGAACCAAAAAAAAAAAAAAAAAAAAAAAAAAAAAGTAAAATAAAATGAAAGTAAGACTTAAGCTGACTGACTGACCTTGGCCTCTTCAGGGGAATTGGTATGTGGCCGTTCTGCATGCGACTCATCTCACCAAAACAACCACGTAAATCGTAGGCGTCAGTCAGCTCGGAATAAGGTTCAAGACCGGCGTATCCTTGTGATGATGACTGGAGCTGAGGAAAGGGGACAACATTTCGGAGCTGGGAATAGTAGTAATAATAATAATAATTCTGAATTTCATTGCGCAAGCTATTATTTACCCGTAGCCCCTGTAAATCCGTAGCGATGCGGGCGTTTCAGTCTAGGCTCGTTAGTGAATTGGTTAGTGAGTTTGTTCACTTGAGGGCGGTGATGAGTCAGCCGTTCATTGGACGGGGCATAAATTGGGTTTTATGTATCATTTAAGGGGGTCAGGAGATGGGATGATGATGATGATGATGATGGGTGGTGTGGTTCAGTTGGTCAGTGAGTGGACGGGAAGGAGATTTCTTCATTGCTATTTACAGATATGGATCAGCCCAGAAGGCTGAAGAACTTGTTTTTTTGCAACTGCCACTCATTTTAGCCGATGTAACAACTTGGCCAGCAGAAAGCACTTAGATGTCATGCAACCCCCCTGGCGAGCGTATGTGCCACGAGTGTCAAAACCAAGCTACATGCTACATTCCATGCGTCGGTTGAACCCCCTTCATGCTGAGGGACCGCCTTATTCTCCGGGCGACAGCTCGGTTGAAACCTTATGGCAGTTTGGCTCACGGTTTAACCATGGTTGAACCACGGAGTAGCAACACCTCTGGTGTGTCACTCTACAGGGGTTCCCAGAACGCTGAAAACGGCCACTGCCCTACATCCCTAGCTAGGTCGGGATTGAACTCGGTACTTTTACAATGCATGGAAAGGGAAAGAGCCATGCAGGAATGAGTAGGTCATTCCAAGATTACAAGTCAAATGGGAAAATAAATAAAAAAAAGCATCCATTTCTACGATACCCGGACACAATCCGCTGGTACGGATCACGGCAGTAATTGAAGTGTTACCAATGAGAAATCGCAGTGACTCGTAATAAGGCTCCATTTACCGAGTCCCCAACAGGCAATTAGCAGCAACGGCAAGGTCCACCACGGTGGTACCTGCAGATACCGTGCTCGAATAAGGTACTGATAGTCGAATGGAACCTGGTGGCTTCCTTGACGCTTCGGGAGGGCACCTTGACTTGACAGCTTGACGGACAGCTTTGGCCAATGACCACAAGGGTGGAGGCTTTCACAAGATTGCCTTAACACGGGTCATGGTTGGAAGTTATCCACTTGGCCAAACGGCTAATTCTCGCCCGAGGTTCGGGATCGCGAAATCTTTCCTGTCGTGTTCCTGGCCGATGTGTGTGCGTATGGGAGGGAGGGAGAGAGTATTGCAGCCCAAGCAACGTTAGGCGATCCTGAATAGAAGCCCCAATGCGAAAAGTAGGCTCAAGTAAGTTTCGTACTAGTCAACTTTGTGCTATTTAGCAAAGTTGCCAAGCTGAATTCTATGCACCGCATTGGTATCACCATTCTCCCCCCGGCATGTGACATGTCTGCCCAGAGTCAAGTTCGCTTCAAAGTACCGACCCCTAGTGCAGCCTAGCTGCCAAGCAAGATGGGCCGCAATTTAAAAGTATTTTGAATGAGGACCGACAATCATCATTATTGGGTGCTTATGGGAGTTCCCGATTGGCGATGAATGAAGATCGCCATGCCCACTGGCATGAATAAAGGAATCACTCGGGAGTGCAACAGGGACTTCAATTACTTACTTATGACTGGATCGCCCATTAATCAACGCCAAAGTGGTTAGTTGACTATTTTCGGAAGGAGCTCTTCCCTGTTGGGATCCAAAGCCGGCCGTTAGAACTTTAGAAAAGAGGAGAAAAGCGGCAAGACCCCGGCCTGCATTTCCCCCGGAATAGAAACCACGCGGTATTCCGGCCTCAACCCTGACGAGACCGCTGAGGAATTGGCCAATGGCATGGGGTGGTTGCGGTCATTGGAAGATACAATTGCCTAAGTAATAAGGTAAGGTTCCTGTAACCTGCGGATGCATTGCCGTTACGGAGTATCCAGTATTACGGAGCGATTTCCCATGCAGTTTCCAGGACCCCCAATCCAGCCGGTGGAGTGGAGTCATATATACGAACGGTAAGAGAGGCCAAAAAGGTAGGGGCCGGAGGAGGGGAAAAGGGAAAAAAAAAGGGGGGGGTTCAAACTGCAGAAGGATTGTTATGGGCAAAGGCTTGTTTGGCGTTTGCCCGTGGCAGCCCATTCACTAGAGATGCTTCAACTAAATTTAGGGTCTGAAGGATGGGTGCAACATTCAACTATTGCATCCCATAAAAGTTGCTATCTGTGTGCGGGTCAAATAGACACTTAATTCTGTAGAGTACTTTCCGGCTGGCAGGCAACTAACTGTCTCCGTCAATAAGTTTGCCCTGGTCTATGCGCAAAGCCTTTTTCTTTTGCCTTTCTGTCTTTCTGTTTCTGGCCATGCAAGGGGGTCGCAGTGCACCGTGACCAAGTCAATGGCATGGAAGGAGTTCAATGCGTCCTGTCAGGACTCCGCTTTGGTTGTGGGGTCGATGGGCGGCACTCGAAACTGGTGAAACAGACTAAGAATCCCACAGAGGACGAGGGGGTGAAGCACGTGGTTGGGGCGCGCAACCAGTCGTATTTACCGCGTATCGTATCTTCCCAGTATGTATCGTTACTCTTCGTGTGTATTACACAGAGATGGTATCATCTGCCTGTTATCTGTTGTGGGTAAGCCTGAAGACAACACTCGGAGTATCTTCCACAAGATAACATGGTCCATCATCAGACTCATTCGATAGAAATAGAACGGATGTGGATGGCCATCCTTGCTGTAGATCTCTTCTAAAAGGAAAAAAACTCCCAAGACACCGACAGAGCCTAGACCCAAGTTAGCGATGGGCTAAGGTTTGTTTGCCATTGTCTATAATCAATAATAATTTTGAGAGGGGTGCTTCAACCACCCTAGCGGCTCTCTCTGGCCCTAAATGAGGCAGCATATTGCCCGAACCATGGTACTCATCCCGCGAACCATCCCGCGGGAAGCCTGTCTTGCACGTACCGAGTTAAGATCTAACGACTAAGGTATGGCCATGACTCCCAGGGACACTCGTGGAACATGATCAGATCAAGAGAATGTGCACACCCCTATTCGCATGTCAGGTGCACAACGGCGAAAGGGAATACGTCCAGCTTCGTTTCATCTGTTCGGGGTTCGGAGGAAATCCAAATGCAGAAGGATTTGCGAGTTCCACTCCGACATACTTCTCGAAGGAGATAAAGAATGCGACTCGGGACGAGCTGCTCTGAGATTGGATGGAGACTGTTATTTTTTCTGCGTCCGCCTCTCAGTTCTGTGGGTAGGTATGCAGGCTTCTCCTGCATTCGAGGACGAATCTTGGATAGCGCCGATGACCAGCATATGATAGATCTCATGGGGAAAGACGAAAAAGCAAACATCCACACATAAATGCGTCTGCTAGACTAGACTGTGCTCGCCACTTCCGCTACAGCTGTTCGCTTGGAGGGTGTTTTCCTGTGGCTAAGGCTAAGCGCCCATCTCACCTCCACTGATTGACGCGACGGCAGACTGACGGACTGCTGATTAAAGCTACCCCTGCCTTAGTGGCCCGACGGCGTGTTGGCCGGCGGGCAAGACGAGTCCGGAAACCCGGAAGAAGCGAAAGTGTCTCCACATTCCCATTCTCCAAGAAGAAGGGAAAAAAAGAAAAAAGTAATGCAGTGCGAGCACCTTTCCACGGCGATTTCTGGACCTCGAGCCTCGGGTGGTCAATGAACGATACGATCTCCCGACTCATGACAGATCATGATATCGTAAATAGAGTTTCACATGGCATGGTCCTACCCCTACATAGGTACGTTTCGCATTGATCCGACCGTGATGAGATCATGGGGGATCTTGATGATGACCACAGAACCACAGAAGCAATCATGCAACTATCGCTCAATAATTAGACAACCATTGCAAATGCCTACTTTTTCAACACTTGGAAGGAAATCGCATAGCTGTGGAGCCAAGTTTCTGCTAGAACTCAGCCGCAGACTCATGACAGACCAACGGAAGATACCGAAATTGTCGCGGGTGAGTTTGAAAAGAAGCCACTTGCGTAGATAAAGTTCTACAGTAAGCTTAGGCAGGTTCGAATTCTCAGCCCTCTATTTCCCTTTGTTTGTGATGCATCGCAGAGAATGGCGATGATCTATGAGAGCCCGAGGCACTAGTTCAACTCAATTTCCCGAATCTTTCCTTGGTCCAAGAGCGATGTACAGTCAGTGTTTTCTATAGACCGACGGATCAAAGACCCGGGAGCTCGAACATCGATAACACTATCAATAGTTCCTCTACCCTCTGATCTAACAAATAATAGTAGACAATTTGATCGAGATGGGATTTGCAGGCTTCATTCGGACTTCGTACTTCGTACCAAACCAATGTCCATGGAAGCAGATACTACTCGTCGATCGGTGCATACCAATGCATCCGATTCGCGCCTCGTGGCGTCGTCGTTCGCTTGCATGGCTTGGCAGTCGCAGAAGGGCACCGGTGGGAACATGACTCGGGGGTCTCATTCGCCCCAGAGTTAGAGACATCACAAGGATGCATAGCGCAAAGTACAAAGCACTGAACACTGGAACTGATGCTGATGTCCAGCGACCGTGAGATTGGGGGCTAAACTAAGTTCCCAATGTTTACGATCCTTGCGGTTGAAAGTGTATTGAGTTCATATAGATTCATATACCTAGATTAAAGGATGGCGGTCGGAACCATATCGATGGGTAAGATAATGTGTGGCACGTGGATGATGGTGGACGTGAGAAGGACATACTTAGTGGGAGCAATGCTGCATTTTTGAGAATAGTAGTCCATCTTCCATCCAGATTAATTAGGAATTAATTTCACGAAGACCCAGGGAGGAAGGATCTATGGTCAATCCATTGTTCATGGGCCCGAGGGTCAACGGAGAGGCCGGAACCTGACTCGAACAAGTACGTTATCCCTACTAATTAATAGTCAACTGCTTGGATATTTCCCCAGCAGGACAGGCGTTGGTGCTGCAGAGAATAAATGGAGGATACGGAGAACTCCGTACCAAACCACGTATATACTGGGTAATGACGTCGTCCGGTATTATAACGTGTTGTGCCACCCGTAACTCGCAAGATTCTTACTTACTACTTACTTAGCTGACGGGCGGTAAAAAGAGCACTGGACCTTAAATGACTCCATTTCCAATCGGCTCGAACCAGGCTAAGAGCGGACGAAGAATGAATGGAGCCATTCATCCGGGGTGGGCCAGCATTGTTTGTCCACAGCCAGTGAGATAAGGGCCAGCCCGTCTACTTTGTACCAGGAAGCTCCCAGCCGGGATGCTATCACGGACTAAACAACACTAAGAAGCCAAGGGCTTACGGCTAAGGCCCTTAGGAGACGGTAGCCACAGCCGGCTAGTCCCTTTCTAGATTCCCAGAACGGGGCCCAATGCGACGCCGGAAATCTTTCACACGGTTTTCACGGTAATACAGGCCCCCCTCCCCGGGGTGTCAGGGCCACTCACAGCCGAAGGTCCCCAGCAGGATGACTACGCCGAAGGGGAACTAAGCCGGACTAAACTTACTAGCAGCTCAACTCTGCTGGCTCCGTGGCCCACTTCGATCGGACTTGATGGATTATCGAACGAATTGCGCGACACCTCCGCGACCAACATTCCCACCAGTTACTCCTCCTTCCACTGCTACCTCTAAACTACTACTATTATTATTACCACTACTATAGACCTGCGAGTCTCCCAGACTGTCCTTACTCTCTCCTCTCTCTCCTCCTCTCTTTCTCCCTCGCTCCCTCTCTCTCTCTTTTTTCCTCTTCCCTCTCTCTTGCTTTGCTTCACGCCCTGGTCTTCCGCTCTTTTGCTTGCTTCGGTTGCGATACGGCGGAGGATGTACTAATCTCGCTCCCCCATTTCCTACCTACCTCCCTCCCCATCTTTCCCCTCACCTGAGCGTCTGCGGTCAGCATCTTCGCCCACCACCATTACACGAAAAGGGGAACGCCTCGAGGCTGCGGTCAGCATACCTAGCGAATTCTGCCCCAGCATTTAATTTGGACGACTTCCTCCGTTTACCGACACCTCAATCTTGAAAGTCGTGCGAACTTCCGAAAGCCCTCTCACTTCCGCGATCGACCCCGTCTCACTCGATACCTGTCTGAACCACCACTCAACCTAGCCTGTCGAGGGAACTTCCGTCGTCACATTCCTTAATTCGATTCCACTTCTCGCGGATATTAGAAAGCCCTGGACAGCTGCGCTGCTCGCCATTCAATTTGGATATCGTTCTCATACAAAGCGGGGGTCACTTTGCGACAGTCGTATTGGAACACTCCTTCGACTCCCATCCTATCCAAGCTGTTTTGCTTTGGAATAGAAAATACCGCGACGTACGTACAGTGACCGAGTAACGTTCGACTAGACGTTATTCCAGCTAGCGACATGTTCTAATTTGCGCCATTCGGGCGGGTTTAGTCAAAAGATACATTTGTCTGTTTCTCGTGCTTGGTATTACATTCTGCCTTGGGTAAGTTGCGCTGTTTACTTTGTCGCCTCTTTTTCATTGCTCGAGACCTCGGGTCTCTCTGGTTGACGTTTCACACATGTCTCAAAGAGAGCCTTCCGTTTGGTTAACTGCGGGGTCTGGGCGTATCCCTGATTCAGCCTTAGACTTTATTTGTGCTGCGTCTATTCTTGGTTACTTCGCACAGTATAATCAGCAAAGTACTGACTCACTTCCAGACAACATCGAGAGTCGCTTGGTGAAGTAAAACACGTCAATCTTCAATATGGGCTGCATGAGTTCAAAACCCGTCGACACGGCGGATAAAGATGCTGTTCAACGAAGCGCTAGGATAGAAAAGGTTCTGAAGAATGACAAGAAAGTAATGGACCGAACGATCAAGATTCTCCTTCTTGGTAGGTTCTCAGACGAAACAACTCCAATTTGCAGTCGTGGAACCGGAGAGTACTGATGCCATTTTCCGTAGGTGCTGGAGAATCGGGCAAATCGACGATCATAAAACAAATGCGAATCATACATTCCGGCGGCTTCCCCGAGGACGAACGACGCCAAACACGAGCTGTCATCTATTCAAATCTTGTTATCGCCTTCAAAGTTCTACTGGATATCATGCGCGCCGAAAACATTGATTTCCAGCTCGAAAAGACAAAGGTAACCTCGTCTGCTCGGTTGTCTTGCAATTTTTTCATCGCAAGCGGAGATCGAAATCTTTCCAGTATGTGTGCTAACTCAGCCCGTTCTTGATCAGCCGTTAGCCGAATATGTAGACAAGCTCGAGCCTGATGTCGGTTCCGACGAGGCATTCTCAGATCTCAAGGTTCGCGATGCCCTCAGAGACATGTGGGACGACACGGGTGTTCAGAAAGCTGTTGCTCGGGGCCACGAGTTTGCTCTTCACGATAACTTGCATTAGTGAGTGCCAGGAACCTTCTTTTGAGCAAACAGGCAATTCGTCTAACCTTTTAGCTTTTTTGATTCGCTTGATCGAATATTCACTCCTGGGTGGCTTCCCGACAACCAGGACATGTTGCAGGCTCGTTTGCGGACAACCGGAATTACTGAAACTCTCTTTGAACTCGGTCAAATGAACTTCCGAATGATGGACGTCGGTGGACAGCGATCTGAGCGAAAGAAGTGGATTCACTGTTTTGAAGGTGTACAATGCCTTCTATTCATGGTTGCTCTATCTGGTTATGACCAATGTCTCGTGGAGGACCAGAATGCCGTACGTTTTCCCCTGTCGCCTTCGTGAAAGCACTTGATCTAACCGTTGTTCCCGAATGTGCAGAACCAAATGCATGAGGCAATGATGCTGTTCGAATCCTTGGTCAATGGCGAATGGTTCAAGCGCAAACCGATCATCTTGTTCTTGAACAAGATCGATCTGTTCAAGGGAAAGCTGCATGTTTCGCCTGTCTCCAACCATTTCCCTGACTACAATGGCTCCAACACGGACTTCGATGCGGCAGCCAGATACTTTGCAGACCGGTTCCGGGGCATCAACCGGATTCCCGATCGTGAGATCTATATCCATTACACGAATGCTACCGATACGACGTTGTTGAAGGCAACAATGGATTCGGTACAAGACATGATTATTCAAAAGAATCTCCACACCCTCATACTATAAGGTTGTGACCTTTGGAACGATTTGAATTTTTACGAGCGAGTACGAGGCGTCAGCGATGCTCAACTTCCGTTCTTCCCCTGCACACGTCAAGCGGTGAAAGCACGCTTGCTTTTCTTCGACTATTTCTATTCACTTCACTTTATCCCTTCTCTTCCTGTATGTTTCTTTCTCCTTGTGGACTCCTCGTCTCAGCTTTTCATTCCTTTCAAAAGCTTATATGTTTTCTCCGGTTCAGCGACGGGTGCATTTCTTATATAATGCAGATTGATACCATATACCATATGTTGTTTGCGTCCATGTCTGCGCTTTTTGTCACACCTAACGAGCTCTTTTCCATTTTCCTGAGCTGAACCTTTCCGTGCCTTTTACGCCTCCCATGTGCCTTTCCTTTTCTTCTTACCTGTTGACATAATGAGCCCCCACCCACCCTATCATTTGCTCGTGTCACTTCTGGCAGCTCTCACTTGGAGCTGTATCTTCTGTATCCGATCATTCAGGCTCTCATAAGTATAATTGCCCATACTGTAATTGTTCGGCTCAAGTGAGGTGAGCATGGAACGAACAGATACCCAAATCAAAGCCAATATAGTGTCTTAGTTCTTGCAAAATAGTAGTTGTCACCAAATAATCAGTGTGCTCGGTGGTAGTGCCCGTTTATATCAACGGCGATAGGAAATTATGCAGGCTGATCTTGATCATAGATGTGGACAAAGTCATGTGAAATTACTCTGTAGATAGTTTCCTGCAATTCCAGGTCACCTGATCTCATTTGGTGCCTGAGGCGACAGGTGACTTACATAATCGCCGAGTTCCGCATGATCGGCTCCAACTTCGATTTCGCCTCTTCGTTCCCGACAACATCGTCACCCAGCTTCTGGGCTTTACGACGTCGGAAAATGCTGTCGTCCTCACTGCGCCGGGCTGCATGGGCTCCTATGGGGCCCATCGCCGGTATATCTCGCGCAACCAGCCAAAGTATTACTACCTCCGCGAACGGCCTCATCGGCTCGTCACAACAACATGTGCGTCAACGCCGATACTCCTCTTCGTCCTCGAAACCCAGCGATGGATCTAATAAAGTCGATTCTTCCTCTCAGACGCCTGCGAAGGGAGTGAATTCTGCAGAGAAACGTGAGGGGAAGGCTTCCAGACGGAGGGGCAAGGATAGCAACGGCCGCAATGGCTCCAAGCAGCCGACGGCTTTTTCCCGACTTCCCAGTGTTCCCTCTACCCAACATCTCCAGCCGCATGGTTAGTCGCCACAATCCTAGTAACTGTGCTTGTATTACTAGACTATGATGCGCTAATCTTCTCCATTTGGTCCAGACGTTCACGTCGCCTCCTTCTTTTCCATCCACCGTCCCATCTCCGTTTCCACCACCGTTCCTCCGACCTCGACCCCCGAAGCGTTCGACGCCATCTTCACCGCAAAGAAGCCGGCCAAGCCTGAGGTGGACGATGTCATCTTCACCCTCTCCTCCGCCGTCAACTCCATGGAGAACTCCGCTGCCCACTCCGGCGAGCAGGAGGGCTCTCTGCAGTACTTCGACATGGAAGGCAACCAGCTGGATGGCATGAACCTTTCCGATCTGAAAGTCTCCGTCGAGGAACTCACGAAGCGTCTCCGTCCCTTCCACCCCCCTCCGCCGCCGGTTCCCTTCGACGAAGCGAAGGACATGGCTTTCTCCGAGTTCGAGGACGTCCCTCGGGAGACCTCCAGCTACTCCACCGTCCTGACCATTCACGAGTCGATACACTCTGATGGTCGCAAGACCTACGAGGCCCACACCGGTCCTTTCGTGCCCTCCGGTGAGATGGAAGCTCCCGGTGCCATTGGAGAGAGCGAGGCCATCATCGATGTCCCCCACAACTCCGGCACCACCTACATGGAGCGTATCCGCAACAACCGCACCATGCACGCCATTAGCACCAAGAGACGTCGCAGACTGAAGATGAAGAAGCACAAGCTGAAGAAGCTGCGCAAGAGGACAAGGACTTTGAGACGGAAGCTTGAGAAGGCTTGATTGATTCTTTCATCATCAGAGACCATTACCATTTGCTGCAGCTATTTTTTTCTTTTTGCTACGCTACAATCCGAATAAACCTTCCTCATTTAATCTCCTCGTTTATCTACTTACATACTTACAACCTTACCTCCCCATTTCCTCTGCTTCACAGAGAAGTCATCCTAGACTTACGCATCTGAAGCTTTGCGTTTATTGCTATGCTCTTCGCATGTATGTGTGTGTGTATTTGGCGGCGGCCACTGATGTGCCTGTCCATATCGCATATATCCTTACGGCGTCGTCTTGAGTTTCTTTGACCTCCTTCTTTCTCTTGAATATTTGGATGTTCATCGCATTTTGTTTCGTTCCATAGACATTACTTTGTATGTTACATATTGCTATCCTATCTATATGCCCTGCTTGCTCTTGTGCAGGTCAGGTGCAATGGTATCTATATTGCTTGACTTTGCTCAGTTGGAAAGGTCTATGTACTGCTTCGGTTCATTTCCAAGACGGTATTTTCTAGATAACAGAATACGAGCAATCTGTTGGGTGCTATAACTTAGTAGTACATTCGCCACTTGGTACATTTATGCTATACGGAAGGACCACATACATGACTTCCAGGGCAGGATAGGTTAGAAAGCTAAGTTTGTACCAAAAGGATCCTTAAAACTAGCAGGAGAAAACATATAAGCATTGCAAAGCAAGTAATCCTATGATCCAGCTCAAGGATACAAAAGAGTAAGCGACTCCCATAAAGTACATAATTTCAAAAGACCTTCAAAAACCATGCAATGTATCTACCACAGCTTCCCACCTTGTCCTAGTCTACAAACTTGGCTAGCACATCCAATTATGTCTTGTCCTTTGTTATTTGGGGGGGGTGGTTGGATGAAAGAGAAAGCATATGTTATATAACGTCCGTTTTCTCTTTCCAATCCCCCCAGCAATCCACTTCTCCCCATCCCCTCCAGCTGTCATCGGGACAATGACGGGAACCGTCATTGTCGGCAAATAAAGTCTGAAAACACAAGTCAAAATAACCGCATCACGTTAACACATGTTGAGCAACCCGGGCTCTGTTCATCATATCCGAGGATATAGGGTGGTTGGCATCCTCGGGCGGGTGTTCACTTGGGCCATTTCGCGCGGAACGAAGGAGGGTTCGTTTAGCAAGTGGCGTCGATCCTCGAACGGGAGTTCATCAGAAGAGCAACGATAAGACCGTACAGACCTGTAAAACATCCTTGTTAGATGGGGCAGACCAATTATATCGCTATGTTGTTGTGACTCACCCAAGACTTCAGCGAAAATGAGAATCAAAATCATTCCGACATAGAGACGGGGCTGTTGAGCAGTTCCACGGACACCTGCGTCACCAACGATACCAATGGCAAAACTAGAGATACTGAATTAGTCCCAAGCTTACCGGAACTGAAAGGTGCCATGTTGAGAAGCTTACCCAGCTGCCATACCAGCCAAACCGACGGCGAGACCTGCTCCCAGCTGAATGAAACCAGTGTACAAGGGGACCTTCTGTCCCAAATCGTTTGCAATCAGGACCGACACGACCAGACCGTAGATACCAATGATACCCGCCATGACAATGGGGACAATGTCTGTATCACGAGATTAGTATCACATCATCCGAAATTATATGCGATGGCATATCCCAGTGGTATAAAGCTCTGTGAAGCTTCCACGTACTCTTGACGATCAGGTCAGGTCTGAGGACGGCCATTCCACAGACACCGACACCAGCCTTGGCAGTTCCATAGGCAGCTCCGAAGCAGGTGAAGACGATGGCCGAGGTGCAGCCAAGGGCACCGAAAAAGGGCTATACAAGTTGGAGATCAGTTAACCGTGTCGAGAGATGCTTGTTCGATGGCAGATTCTCCGCTTGATGCAACGAAGCCAAGCTACCTTGAGGGTCGCTTGGAGCTCGATGGTGTCATCGGTGAGGGTGGGATCACAAGTGACTTACTGCGTAAACGGGGCTATCAAGTCCATATGTCAGTATATCAAGTCGAGAATCATCCGTAACATTATTAAAGTCGAGATACAAGAGGGCACAATGGTTGGGATGCTGGGAAAAGGAGTAGGTGAGGTGATTACGTACCAAAGTTCGGTGGCCATCTTGACAGATTTGGCGACCTTGCGGGCGATAGAAGATGGAGTGAAACTATGAAAACAGCCGAAAGGAAGAGTGACAGGGCAGGGACAGGCCGCGTGTAAAGCGATGTGGTGATGTTGAGGCTTGGGGAAGCGAGACGGAGATGAAGGCGTGAAGGCGAACACGCTGGAGGCTTCGGGGACGCTGACCGACCACCTGCGTCATCACGTGATGGCGGCTTGGCGCTGGCCCGTCGGCCGCGCATCACGATAACCAGCTTCCCCACCCAGTCGGTGATGAAGCAGCAGTCGTGAAACAGATACAGCTTGATGTAAAAATATAATATGTACTACTTGCTGTGCTCACTATAGACTATTCTCTCTCTTTTTCATATATAGGGCTATCGCACTCTACATTGTGTTCGAGGATATCGGAGGTGTCCGCTCGAGAGATAACTGAATTACGAATCACCGTCCGGTTTTCCTGATAGAAGAATAACTTCATATAGAGTGAGACTGATTGTATACGGTATAGAGTTGTAAACTACGAAGTCTGGCATCTAAGCCAATATGGCTTATATGGCAAGTGCGCGATACTCAAATTGGCTTGAAGTATTGAGATAACGAGACAGTGATGGGGAAATGCGGAGACTGCGGGAGTAGCTGCCAAGCCGTGATATTTTGGGTCGTACAGAATAGATCAAGACCCCTACCTCTACATTGTACTTCTCAATCCTTCGTCGCCCATGTGGCAAAAGATATTCAATGCAGCGCTACTAGTGTCTCTGGCTCATCACAGACAGGGTCGATCTTCAGTCATGATGTCCTTAGATTATATTTGTAAGCTTACTTACGTACTATCTATCACACAAAAAGGACATGACTGATAGCTAGGTCCAAAATGTGTGCGCTCATATCGGTCTGGTCAATATCTCCTGTCTGTCTTTGCGATAGGGATGACCTTATGAAAGCTAGTATGTCTACACGTATTGTATTCATACCTTTCCCTTGTATATCATCACCGATTACTTTAATCCTTTCCGCCATCGCGCCTTTCCTTGACCAGATCTCGACGGGGATCGGCTACAGAGCGGTTCTGACAATGTGGTTGAATTACTGCACTACCATAACCACTGGCGAGTATTGCTTCGAAACTCAGTACGCTAGAATTATTTAGTAGACCTTCTCTCTGACCATCAGATATCAATCATGGTAGCTAGGGTGCTTGCGCTTCATTATATATAGTAAGCAAAAGGAAGAAGGGAGTGACTACTTAGTGGTAGCTATGGGTTGATAAGGTCACTTTCCATCGAAGCGGGAGGCCAGATGTGGATTTGAAAGATAAGTAGAAATCTCGTGCGTAGAGAACGTGCAAAAAAAAAAAAAAAGAGGAAGCAGCAAAATATTCAAGCAATACAACTATCTCACTACGGGTGCAGTTTTCTCTCGTGTCTTGCCGACAAATGTATGTAACATACTCTTTACATACTCTTTCTACACCTCCTGGCTCACACCCCTTCAGTGAGGCATACCTTTTCTTCTCTCGAACACCATTTCTGGCCGAATGACTGCAATAGAGGCTCTTTTCTGTTACTTGGACATCAAGAGTTGGAAGCATTATTCCATCACAAACAGACGCAGACGAAGTCGCAGATGCAGTGGGGATACTGTAGGCTCATCCTGGGTACTGTTTCCACAAATCCCACCTGCTTGCTCGCAACAGAGCAGTTAGAGTGTATTGGTATACTCTTCATAGGATTCTAGAGTTCTTGGTGGTCCTAGGCTGCATAATTCAAGTTGTGCCCACTAAAAGGTACTAGGCAGACGTTGAACGTGTAGGTGGAGGGTGTTACTGCGCCTTGCGGGTCACTCGAACATCTATATATATATCCCTGGCGAGATGCTGCTGTAAGATAGGGCTATGCATATATAAGCTTTAGATCGAATAGCCTGGAGGGACCCACCATCATGTTAGCCAGGCAGTGCTTTTCTTACGTTGCTGGTTAAAGTATGCGGGGTGACCAGGATGTTTCCTTCTAGAAATAACAACGACACAGGGTGGCTTGGACTGCGGTGATATCGATCACATGATACTGCGTAATGTCGATAGGCAACTTGATCTCTTATTTTTATCAACTCTATTTTTATTCTTCTCGCTGAGGCTATGTAGTAGTGGGATGTCTCCGTCATGATCAGCAGGATCCTCGTAAACATTCGACAATATAAGCGACCGTTTTGTCAGGTCATCATGGCAGACGGATTAACTCGTAATGATGTATTTGCGATATGCGAACGATAAGACATTTCATTATCGAACACATGACGTCTAAAATCCGGCTGAAACGTGCTTTAGTCCAATGATTATCTGCATAGTTAGCGTAGGCGCTGACGGATAGATGCGTGTCAAATGATATCACTTTGCTTTTTCCCTGGAAATGAGTCCACGCTAGTCTAGACACTACAAAGTCAAGTACCATAATGGGGACCGGTATCTGTCCGACATTGTTAAAAGCTACCGGCACCGTGATTCGTGCGAGAGGAACCGTAGGGCTGGATGGCCCACTAAATTTATGCTGAATTCCGTCTCCCAAACCTCCTAGACACGGGAGTCATACCCCTATTCTGCACAAGGGATTGCGTAGGGGGCCAGCTCTAGTCCGATAAAAGCAGTAGGTATGAAATACGATGTGCTGGTCCGTCCCACCCAGAACCGAAGCCCAGACGCTTGGAGCCCTCTGCACAGAGTGATTTAGTCAATATTGGCGGCGTCTAACCTAAGACTACCGGCGCCTCGCTTCAGCCTGGTAAGGTGGTACGGTGGAAGCGCCAAGCCCCTGCCAGGCAACAAAATAACCATGACAAAGGAGGGCGGAGGGAGGGAAAAAAAAAAAAAAGGTAAAAAGTCAAAATGTAGGCAATGGGAGGAAAGGGGAAAAAGAGGGCGAAAGTTCTCCCCTTACTGTTGAACAAAACCCAGCTGCACCGCCCGATGACAACATGGTTCAGTTCCAAAATTGGAGGAGCATCAGCCACGGGACTGGGGGAGGTACAAAATACAAAACGTCGATACGACGCAAAAGTCACCCGCCGAGAGTCTGGTTGAGGTGAGCTCGGAGCCAATCAGCAAGCGGCCAAGGCATCAGCCACAGTTCGCAGTGAAAAGTATGACGTAGCGACAAACATGCACGGCGAGCGGAAAAGGATCGTCCTGACTATCGTTGTCGTCCGCCCCGGTTATTCTAATTATCACTAGCAGCTATTGGTCTTTTATCTTATTACCTAAAGGCGTATCCGTTGAATAACTAATGCGGATTCGAGGACAGTGCTTTACGTAGGAGGCATAGCACCATCCCCCCCCCGGCGGAGGGTAGCTACTTAATTTTGCCGCCCATCATTTAAGAGTCCCTGTGGTCCCGCTCCCTTCCTCTCCTGATTTTTCTTGTTGCTTCCCCATCATTCATCTGCTCGCAATCAGATACAACCTTCATCTGGTCATATACATCATCTGCTCACTACTCTCTCCTACATCAAACTAGTCAACTTGAAGAGATCTACGTCTCCCTCGATTCACAATGCCTTTCACTGCCTCGTAAGTCTTGCAACCCCTCGCGACGTCATCTTTTGGCGATTTCCTATCCAGTCGCGCGCATACCTGGACCTTGACGAGCTGGAGCTGTCTTGGGATAGCTTGCGATCCCAATAATCTGAATGACGAGAGCATAGTGTCGTGGGTATGCTAACGCCGTTGGGACCATAGGGATATCTGCAAGATCATCTTTGCGATCATCTTGCCGCCACTGGGTGTTTTCCTGGAGCGAGGATGCGGTGCTGATTTCCTGATCAACATCTGTTTGACAATCCTGGGTTGGCTCCCTGGTGTCATTCATGCCTTGTACGTGGCCCGCCAAGTGATGGATTTCCGGAGATTCCGAGGCTAACTCGTTTCGTTCAGCTATATCATATTCAAATACTAGACCGCTCCTCAGGCCCGTCATTACCGCCCACTTCGATTCAAAACCCGTCGATTGGGGGAATAACCTCGTCCTACCTACGATTTCTTATCCTACGGAATCGAAGATTCGAAATTTAGCGGGTCGGGGTGACGTTGTCAACATCATTAGTATCGTTCCGCGGGCTCCCGACGAGTCTAGCCTAATGCAACCCCGCCAACATAAGCGCCGTCATTGGGCGGATGTCCAGCATGCTCAGTGCGGCGTGTGTTTGTGACAGGGTCTTGATCGCCTTTTTTTTCTAGTTTTTTCCCCTTTGTTCTTATCTCCTTGGGTTGTCATTTTCTTATGTATTGCGCATGATACCAGCTCACCGTGTCACTGGGCTTTGCTTTTGTCATTATCTCTTAGTTGGCAGTGATCAGATTTATGATTGATGACAATGTCAAACCAATTAATCAACCGCATTCTGGGCTCAAATCGTAGCTGCTTATGCCATAAGCAGCATTGTAATCTGCGGAGTGGGTATGGGGAAACACGAGTTGCCGATCGGGCCATTGAAAGCAGCCCAAGCTCAACAAATCCCGTGATGCGTCTGTCTAGCCGCGTTTCGCCTTTTAGTCTAGTGTCGACACATCTAGCTGGATCTACACTCGCAGTTGTGCCTGGTTGCCCTCAGGGTCTTCGAATCAAAAATAGCCTAAAGGTGCGCGGTTAAGGAAACGGACCTAATTCCATTGCTTGCGCCTTGAACCTCTCGGATCGGCTCATCTGACATCATGTGCTGTTCATATCGGCAGGGTCGGCGCCAACACGGCGCGTACTTCAACGCCATCGTCTACCCAAAACCCAATCATGCAAAGCGACAGACCTCCTGAAGAACTGTGTCCATGAGCTACGTGTATTATGTTTGGGACAGTGTTGCCATGTTTCGCCCTGGCGCGTATAGGAGGCTTGGACTACTGATTTGGGTCTCGAACCTTGATTCTCTCTCTTCGCAGCCACTCAGCGCCATGGCAGAACGTGGTTTGACGCCCATGTTGGCAGTATGCGGTACATCGTGCTGGTCCCTGAAGTCGCTCCTTCCCCCCTTATCGCAGCCGCTTCTGTCTTGAAGTTGGTGCTTCTCCATGCTGTTTGGAAACCATCGCTTCTCCAGATCCTCAGTGTTCTTTGCACTCTTTCTTCCTTGATCATCTTAGGATGATATCCTACGATTATCAATGACTCCAGAGGTTGGATTCCCTCTGTAGCGTCACTTTTTACGTGCATAGGTAAGGTATCGACCCTGTGACCTCCCGTTCGCGACTCCTTGGCTTGCATTATACCTGGCGGTGATAGTCTACTAACCCGAAAACGAAGATGCTTTTACAAGATGTTTATACCTGCTGGACGGTTATTCACGATAATACTGTTGATGCTGACAAGTCTCGCCTATGGTTCCCAGACCACCAATCCTACCGCATCAGCAACATCTTTGTCCGGTCTGATCCCAAGCTGTGCGGCAGACTGCATCGAAGAATTTATAATCTCCGATTACCCAAAGGGCGCATGCTCGGAGTGGGATCTCGACTGTCTCTGTCGGACGAACACGACAAGCGGCTATACGCTTGGGGAGGCGGCATTTCGCTGTAGCCTTTCCTTATGTTCTATGAAAACAGTCTTCAGCGCCGACTTGTACGACATTTGCGACTCGGTACCTGGAGCTTTGCCACGGACTCATGCTACGATCACCGCGACAGTGATGCCAACAGGATCAAGTCCCACGCAAAGGACTGCAACGACGACGACGACAGCGACGGTGCCATCTACCTCCAGCTCCAGTTCGGCCTCCAACACTGGGTCCGGGTCTAGCTCTAGTACATCCTCACAACCGACAAGTCTTAGTACTGAGCATACCTCGGTAACTACTGAGACTTTTCAAAGTCCTTTGACGGTTTCAACTTCGCAGCCTTTTCTCACGGCAACGGGTAGCGCTACCAGTAGTGGCCAGTCGGCATCCGCGAGCGCATCTGACAGCAGGCTGGAACCTGCTGCTGTGATTGGAGTTTCAGTTGCTTCTGGGATATCTGGATTCTTCATTATGGGTGTTATAATATTTTTCTGTTGTAGGAAGGCAAGGCGACGAAAACAGGATGAAAAGGACCACTTTTTCGAGATTGGAGGTGTCATGTCCGAGCCTCCGGATTTCACATTTCCACCAAGACGGCCAACTGGGCCTCGTCCTATGCCTGGTACAACAGATAGGGATTCCGAAACCTCCAGACTGATAACCCCGTTTGAGCCGAGAGCTCAGACACCTGCTGTCGTTGTCACAGGCCCCGGTAATCATCATAATAATAGTCCCATGGGGGTGTATAGTACCGACAGGATTGGTTTTGCAATGACTACTAATTCCGAAGCTGAGGGAACATTGAGCCAGTCGTCTCCACGAACGATTTCAGATCTACTTCCTGATAAACCAACGCTGGGGCTTTACCCGGAACCATTAAGGTTGAGTCGTCAGAAACCGCCCAGACCCCACAGCCATGCGACTTTATTCGAAGAGGATATGGCAAGACCACGGAGCGTCTTTGGTGCACCATACCAAAATCTAAATCAGCCGACCTCATCAAGCCAAACTCAAGAAAGTCGGCGGTATAACCGGGCCCCTATGGCTGGATTGCCTGCGCATCCTCGTGCGATGCTCCATGGTTTTGGGGAAGGCCAGGATGGAAAGCTTGCTATGAGAGGCCCGAATTACCGAAGGAGGCCTACCTATGCAGAAAGCGGATCAAGGGTTCGGTACTCCAATCAAGATGACACTTATGAAAGCCTGCTACAAAGCTCTCCGGTCTCGGACGCTGGGGAGTTTGTCGACCGGGACCGGCAACATCGCGGTGCTGGACATGTGAGACTTGTCGGACCGGCGTCGTCACAGGGTGTTGCAAGTGGTCCGTTCGGTGGCACGGACGCGAACAATAGCATGTTGTACAACCTGGATGACAACTTTGAGGACATCGATATCAACGGCTCCACTAGCAGATTGGACCGTGAATCCCGGCATTCGGGAAACTTACGGCCACTCACGCCAGTGCGGGAAGTCAGAACACCAACGCGAGAATCTCCTACACCGAACTGGGAATTTGCCTCGAGTGACCAACCTGGTCTTCCCCGGATGCCATTTTTGCGGGCGGTCAGTCCCAGGCAGGAAATTGTCTCTCGCCCGCGGATTGTACGAGGGGACGATATCAAAAGAGTCCAAATTCGGCGGAAGCCACATGCCGGAGGGTTAACTGTACCTTACTCACCTGAAGACTACTGGCTTGGTCATGATCCAGGGCCTGTGTTGGAGACTCAGGCACGCAGACAGTCCACCGATTCGATGCGTTCCATTGAAAGCGTGAGGGGCCACATGCCGAAGAAGAAGCCGGTGCCGTACGAGCGAAATGTAACCCCATCCCGCAGCGGGTCGGATTTGATACTGCGCGTGGATTGACGGGATACGTCTAGTCTAAGAGGTAGGGATGCACCATTTCTCGGCCTTGGCTACTAGGAGTGGAAACTTCGTTCTCGGTGAGGACAATTCAATATATACATCTACATATATGTATATGAAGCCCAGTCTTTTCCTTTATGTTGTATGATACTTTGACTTATGTTCGCTTGGTGGAGCGAGGTATCTGTCTCTTCTTCCAAGGCGCTTCATTTCTATTTTACTTTCAATCTTATGATTGTATATATGCATTGGCCATGGGTGGATCTAGATAGTATGGGCTTTGGAAAAGGCAGCGAATCTGATAGTGCACATATACTACTTACTAGGGACTGACTCTGTGCTTCCACCCTCGCCCCACTATTTTGTCTGTCATTTGGGAGACTCAAAGCCACTAATTGCACAGAATAGTGTCTGATGAGATATCCATCTCCGCTATGTTGTGAGTCAGATAAGGCTGCAGTCAGCTCACCAGAGAAAATCACGCAAACGAATCAGGAGTGCTGCAGAGGCCTATTCCAAACATAGCGCGGTAAGATGATGTTTTTCCACTGGGCCGAAGTGAGAGACGCAATCACATTTCCAAGTTTACCGCACAGGCAGATTCCCATGTGAACCCACTCTTTCTGCCACCATCCTCAGTGGAGGGTGTATTGAGGATACGGTCATGATACAGACGGCGGCCGGGAGAGCTCCGCAATGACGTCAGAAGCGGTGATCAGCCCCTGGCGGATGACTGAGGCAGTGAGGCCGCACTATTCCTGGTGTAGAGAATTCCGAGCCAGTCTGAGCGTCCTGGTTGGTTGTGACCTCATTTTTGAGCAGCACCAGATAACAAGCTAGTGACTCGCAAAAGAGGAGGCTCGGAAAGTAACATCCATCCACGATCCTTCGCGCAGATGGTGGCTTGAGGAGACTAGGAGGGAATGAATGTAGGTTCGTGCATTCGGTAGTCGGTCCGTTCCCTTTCCCCCCCCCTCCATCCCCGCCAGTCGTGTTTATCGTTCAGGGCGGGAATGATCTCGATGGCTTGGGTAGGTTACAGTGTAGGATAGTAGCAGCTGGAAAGTAAGGCCACGAGGAGGCGTCATTGGCGCTGATGAACATTGGGGATCCGTGTGTTTCGGGCATACACTGCATACTTACTTACACTGCACAACTACTAACGTTACTTACTATAGTTCTTTTAATAAGACCGTAGGGATAGCTGTATTGTTGTATTATTGTGTCGAGAGTAAACCTGACTGACCGGTATTGTAACTGATGTCAACCTGTCTCCCTCTGCCGTCTTTCTCTCTCCTTCTCTCTTCCTCATTTGCTTTCCCCCTCCATGATATCAGTCCCCGAACTTGATCAAGGATCCGAGTTCACCCATTCTCATTTTCGCCGAACAAGTGAGTTTCATCCGGTTTTCTCGACGGATGGATGGTGAGTAAGTTTGAATCACCCATCCCTCCCCCTCCCATTTTTCCCGTTTGCACGGTACCTTCCGGGCGTGTCTTTTGCCTGCCGATGCCGGTTGGCGCCTTGACCGTTCCGCGGAGCGAATCATATCGCCAGCCTCTCCATCATCATCTATTATTGTCAAGGATACCTTTCGAATATGTATGGCTGACTGGCTTCTACTAAGTTCTCAGACGCACCACTACTAGACACTATGATCAAATAGGAACAATTCAACTATGTTGTAACTTTGGGAGCAAGTGGGGTTCGAACAACCAGAATTTGCAACCGTTACTGAAAACACAGCTTCCAGTTCACCAGTGAGGTTGAGTCTTTTCTTGTCCCGATGCGGTCGATGACGGCGCCACGGGCTGCATCACCCAAGGGAGAAGATGCTAGGCGTCCTCCACCGCTTGCTCGTTTACTCCTATATAATGGCTCTGGACTCCCATTGTCTGTCAGGAAGTGGTCCTCTATCTCCCCAGACTCCTCTCACTCCACTGAACCCCATTTCGTACTTCGCCTCCTTCATCTTGTGTATCATACTCTCCTCTTTCTCTTCTTGCTTGCTGCACATTATCAATTCCCCTGAGGGAACATAATTTTGTGTAGCATATTGTCTTATCAGTGTGCATCCTTGCAACGCCGGTTTACGTGCATTGTCTGGTCCCATTGATCATTCTGGTTTTGCTTGTGATCTTGTTTGACCTCGCGTTGGCCAGACGACGTTGCCCCTGAAGATCGACTGACGTCGTTGTCGATTGTCTTCCGCAGTAACCGTTTCTTGTTCATATTCTGGGTCCACAAAAGGTCCACTTCTATTGTTGCCACCCGCCGGAGATCCACCACTATTGCTATCCACAATGACAACAGCCGACGGATATGCTACCCCACGGGTAAGCCGGTTGTCGAGCCTGGACGCATCCCAGGCCGACCTCTACGGCGGTCCCAGTGTGGTCGTCCCTCCTAAACACTTGATGGCTTCGACCATGTCTCATGAAACAGCCATGGAATTGGAAGCCGCCAAACAACATTTCGACGAAGAGGTTTCCTCCGAAGAAGGTTCCCCTCGAGTTGCTCCCCCTGTGACTAAGAAGGCCCTCACCACTGCCGACGACTTTGCTCTGGCCTTTGATATTGACGGAGTCCTTATCAGAGGTGGGAAGGCTATCCCTGAAGCTGCCAGTGCACTCAGGTACATCAATGGAGAGAATCCTTATGGTATTAAAGTGTATGTATCGATATCCTCTACCGTATTATAGCGGTGCTCCCTTCTCAAATGGTAGTCCCGTGCTGACTGCTCTACCAGACCTTACATTTTTGTTACAAACGGTGGAGGCAAGACGGAGGAAGAACGATGCCTTGATCTCAGTCGACAGCTCGAGCTCGAAGTCTCCCCCGGCCAATTTATCTGTGGCCATACCCCGATGCGCGAAATGGCCGAGCGGTACCACACGGTTCTTGTTGTCGGCGGTGAGGGTGAGAAATGCCGTATTGTAGCTGAAGGCTACGGCTTCAAGAATGTCATCACCCCCGGAGACATCATCAAGACTAGACAAGACACTACACCGTTCCGGAAATTGACCGACGAGGAATACAAGAACTCCCGAGTCCGGGACTTTTCGCAAACGAAGATCGAGGCGATCTTTGTCTTTGCGGATAGTCGGGACTGGGCCGGTGACCAACAGATTATCCTCGATGTCCTGATGTCCAAGAATGGACACCTAGACACCCGATCCGACTCCTTTGACGAGGGCCCGCCTGTGTTCTTCTCCCACAACGACGTGGTTTGGTCCACCTCCCACGAACATTCCCGAATCGGCATGGGTGCACTCAGAGCGTCGCTAGAGGCGTTGTACAAAGCCGTCACTGGCAAAGAGCTCAACACGATCGCCTTTGGCAAGCCCCAACTCGGCACATACCAGTTCGCTACGCGGTTGTTGCGACAATGGCGCAAGAACACTCATGCCATCAACAAACCTCCCAGCACTGTGTACTTTGTGGGCGATACCCCCGAGTCAGACATCAGGGGCACGAACGAGTTCAACAAGACCAGTGACGCTGACTGGTTCTCCATCCTGGTCAAGACCGGTGTGTACCAAGAGGGCACTATCCCCCGTTATCCACCCAAAAAGACCTGCAATCATATCCTGGACGCGGTCAAATTCGCCATTGACCGCGAAATGGCCAAAGAGAAGAAAGAGGGGTCGACTGTCGTTGACGACGTTGACTCGGAACTTGAGCTAGAAGCGGGCCTTCTGCCCAACTGAGTTCTTTGCTACTGATGGTAGCTGGATGATACAAGTGTGATGCATGTAGATTCCTATCATTCTTGTTTATTACTTTGTTATGGATACCTCTATGCTATGAATGTATGACAGATATGTATGTCTTTTGGCGTTGTGTTTACTACATTCATCTTCTATACTATTATTATTGTTAGGAATTTCATCAAGGCTTCTTCTTACTATTTCAAATCAAGTGCCATCTTAGACCAAATTCC